TCCGTTCCGCTTCCGCGACGTCCCCGGAGAGGTAGGCCCCTTCAGATTCCCTCAACGTGCTTCGTGCTGACTTTAATGCCCCTCAGATACGCAACAAAATCTATCGCATCGCACTATGCAGCTTCAGCCCGCCACCGACCACGATAACGATACAACCCTCGTCATTCCTCACCGCGACACTTGCAGAACATCAGGTCGAGACCGCGATACTGCGTGTGTCCAAGGAAACATACCGCGAGGCTTATAGTGTCATGATAAAAACCAATCGGTTCGTAAAGGTCACATCGTCGCGAGGGCTTCCCATGCGCCTTGCTATGGCAGGCCAAGCGGTCCGGATGATCGCCATCGACAGAGACATTGTTGATAGATTCAAGGGATACGTGCTTGGTGTGCACATTGGTTTCAAACTACCACAATTCGCTCGTTCCCCACTTGACTCCGAGAACCTACGGGAACCTGTCACCGCGATGATCCTTTACAGCGATCTGGACCGGTTTTGCAAGGCATTAAACGATGGGGACTTACATGATCCGGGGTTCAGCGAAAAGATCAAGATCTCAATCACCATGGCGCCTGTCTTAGACGTTGCATCAAGTAATACACTATCACCCGACCTCAACGGTTTCTTCACCAAGAAGACACAGGAAACACTGTTCATGCCGTTCATGGCCAATCTGTTTGGATACGGGGCCGTCGACATCAATGGCCATGTCGACAGTGCTCTGGCAGCTACCGTTCGTCAAAGTCTCGGGCAAGACAGATGTTACAATCCGGCGGCTGTTCTCGCGGAATTTGCGGCCGCGAAAGATCGCGGGTCACAACAGTTCAAAGACGGCCAATTTGAGGAGGCCGTCATTGGTTGGCAAGACGCCGTTTACGATATGGACCAGTCACGCGAGTCCAATTCCTGGCCAAATGTAGTTCGCAAGGGAGGTGATGCATTTGTTGCGGAAATGGCTGCGCTATACTTTCTGATGCAGCTCAATATCGCCCACATTCAAATCGCCAATATGCAGAAGAACGCGTTTGGCGCCGAGCTATTGGCCGATGGCGCGCTGAACTCTGCAACTCGGTCGTTGAAGCCAGGCTTCTGGAAACCGGATTACAAGTACAGACCTTCGCCTCAGCAGTTCGCCAAGCTGCGGTATCGGTACGCAATGTTCATGAGGCTGGAAGAAAACCCACAGAATGCGAATCGCGCTTTGAGCTTCATCGATAAAGCTCTCGTGTCACAGCCGGGTGACGGTGTACTTCTGAGAGAGCGTGAGAACATACTGGGGTGGATACAACGGCTCTGATTCCGCATTTAGCAGTCTCTGAAATGATCTGAAATGCCTTTCACAATCTTCGATACTGGTGCCTGGGGAAGCTAGGACCTCTTGGCTCGTGCTCGGGAGCCTGCCACAGACGACCCCAAATTGAAATTACCTGTCGTTCTTTCTTCCGTTCTCTCCTCGCTTCTCCGCCGGAACTGATATCATGAAGTTCCGCAAGCACGCCCGCCGTCTCAAGCGGTGCGCAAAAGCCATGATATCCAATTCGACTCAGCCCTTCCGCTTCATGGACTTACCCGGAGAACTGCGCAATCAAGTCTACACCCTGTTGCTATGTTCGTTCGGACCTCCTGTCGAGCAGACAGTCAGAAAACTCGGCGTGCCTATTGCATCTGCTGGCCACCGCGCAGAGACAGCCATCCTTCTCACCAGTCGTCAAGTTTATCTTGAAGCCTACGACGTCATGGTGAAGGCGAACCGTTTCGTCGTTGTCCGCGCATTCCCGCCTATACCAGTCATGGACATCATCCGTCAGAGTGTTGTAACGGTCATCACACACAACGATCTGCATATCTCTCAGTTCAAAGGCCACATCCTCTCAGTTACATTGTCGATGCCAGCGCCTTCGCACGAGCCGCCCATGAGCGTCATGCTCCTCGCCAGAGATCTGCCATCGTTCTGTGAGAAAATCAATCGATGCACTCTTAACAACACTCTCGTAGTCGATGTGGACGTCGCACCTCTGCTCGGCGAGCACACTTCACTTTACAGAGACTCGTTCGACGCCTTTATCTCGGAAGAGGTGCAACTCAGTCTACTCGCTCCATTCAAGACCCGCATCCGAGGCTTGAAGAACGTCCGTGTACATGGTCGCGTGTCGCCCCAGCTTGCGATTGCGACGGCGGAGGACATGTGCAAGAATGAATGGTCGGATCCTGCTGAACTGCTTCACCAACTCCAAAGCCTTAAGAAACACGCAGATGCGAAGTGGCAAGATGGCTCCCGCATGGAAGGATCAAGCGTGTGGTCTGCGTGTTCGACAGAGATCGGCCGTATCCGCGCGTCGTCATCCTGGAGCAACCTCGTCTTGTTGGGAGGAGATTCATTCGTCGATGCGATGATTGAACTAAGGTTCTCATGCTGCCTGAACCATGCCTATGCTATACTAGCGATGTTCAGCGTTGCGATGGAGGATGGTAAAGTTGGAAGGCTTAGAACCACCTTTGGCAGCATGTCATCGCGTACCTTTACTGCCGCTCAAGAATGCATGGAGACAAGTTTTTGGCAGGAAGGTCGCACATGGAGCCCGTCATGGGCTCGTTACTCGAAGCTTCTTTACCGACAAGCGCTGGTCTATCTCCTACACGGTAGTATCGGAAACGCGGACGGAGCGCTCACTATAGTCGAATGTGCCCTCGAACGCTCGCCTAACAACACACCTTTCCTGGAATTACGTGGCACCATACTCCGATGGATCGCTTCTGGCTGCGACTTCGATGCCGATCGGGCTTCAGTTCGCATTCATATGTCTGACAGCGGCGACATTACAGTCGACATGATGACCAACATGTAACGTGTATACTGTCTGCTTGGGCTGCGATCGCATTTCCTGCTCTGGCTTATGAGACGCACTGGCGTATGTGATATCGCGTCTACGGCGGTATGCCACTTAAAGTAGACACGTATATGTAGGATTCAAATCTTGGCCACTGTGTTCGCTTCAAGTTGATGTGATATTCTCTCGTCTCTGTCTAGTCCATCTGCCGATCCTGCACCGGGGCATGCGGTGCTTCGAATCTTCATAACCGCAGTCACCTGCAATGGCTGATGCAATGCGATTCGTTGTTAACATGGTGACGTAGTATCGACTCACTCAATGTCTTCCTCCCTTCACCGTGCAGTTTAGGCAGTCCCCGCTGCGTCACCGCCACGCTCGGACTCCGAGTTTGTTTACTACGCGCTAAGCCAACTTGAGCGCACGTGGGAAACCAAGATACAGAATGTCTCCCGCCTTCACCCTCCGTCCTCCTCACGCTGAATCCTCACTCGACCCCGACACAATTGTCGCGACAACGGCTTCCACAGCCAACGCCAATATGGCTACCGCCGATACCGATGCGCCCTTTCGCTTCATGGACCTTCCCGGAGAGCTCAGAAACAAAGTATATACTTTGCTACTCTGCTCGTTTGGACCTGCCCCAGATCCGATCCAGGAAATCCCCCAAGACCTGCTTACCCAGGGAAGCTTTGAGCCTGAACTTGTCTCCGCTCAGCAGTGCAACGACTCTGCTATTCTTCGTATAAACAGTCAAGTTCATCGCGAAGCCTACGACGTCATGGTCAAAACCAACAGATTCGTTCGGATCAGTTCGCCCAACAACTTGTCCCTCAACAATGTTATCGCTGGCAGAAACATCCCGGTTGTTGCGAGTGGACAACTTGCAGCGGAGTTCAACGAGTGAGTCTAAATTTGACTGCCTGTTTCACTGACTGAAGCTTCTAACACCCGATTACAGGCAACTTATCGATATCAATATACCTTCCGCGGGTCTGAATGTCAACGGGCACGCAGATGGCAGTCAACCAGCAAGTGTAGTCATCCTGGGCTGTTATCTTGAAAAGTTCTGCAACAGCTTCGAGATGGCAAAAACTATTATGCCAGAGCTCGCCAACACTGCGACTTTCGTCATAACTATAGCTCCGATGCTCACTCATGAAGGCCCATGGTACCAGGATGATCTGACAGACTTCTTTTCTGAGACTATTCAAATGGACTTGCTCGGGCCACTGGCTAGCATGCGGGGCATCAAAAACGTCGAAATTCATGGTCCTGTCGCACCCGACATGGCAACGGAACTGAAAGACTTGATGATGTCGGGAAAATGGAATGATCCACACAGTGTCATCGACTTCCTGAAGGAGATCAAAGACTATGGTGCCGAATATTATCGTGAGGGTCGGCTGATGGAGGCTTTCTCCACTTGGGGAAGCAGCATGCATGAGATCGATCGCTTGCGCGAGGGTATCACCTGGGAAAAGCTCATCAACGTTGGCGGAGAGCCATGGATTGGCCAAATTGCTGCGCTGCAGTGCTCACTTGGACTCAATTCAGCACTGGCCATGATCAAGCTCTGGGGTCCCGACCCGAAGAACGTTGCCATGCCACCGGAAGCTCGAAAAGCCCACAGGAATCTCGCCCTGGTCAGCCTATCAACATCTGCTAAGTGTAATGAGCCAGGATATTGGAAAGAGGGTTATACATGGGTATGCCCTCCGGTGCTGAAGGCGAAGATCATGTACCGTCATGCTTCGTGCATTCGGCTTTGGAACGAGAGATCGCAGGCTGTCGTTGCTCTGGAACTCATCCGGGGAGCTATGTCACTTGTACCGAACGACCCTGTCGTCCGCAAGGAGGCGGAGGCAATCGTGATATGGGCACGTGGTATTTAAGAGAGTTTTTGGTGTCTATGAAGCGTGTGGTAGCTTACTGTACGCTCGATTGGACGGCTACGAGAGTTTGAAGTGGCGATAGTTTTGATCCGAGCAAACTGAACGTACGGTTGTTGGAGGATTGGAGTGGCTCTTCAGCCGTGGATAAAAGGGTTCATACATGGAAACAAATACCGCAGCTGACGAGGTATGCGCATAGGAGGAGCAATGAGTGGTGAAAACAATGCATACTTCCTTTTACAGTCCATTCGTTATGTTCTCTCACTTCCATGCTCATTAGTACATCGCATCACCCCAGTCTTCCCTAATCATTTCACTACCCTTCTCAGCCACCATATAGATACTCGCCAAGATATTAGCATCCGGAAGTACCGGTACAATACTGCAATCAACAACTCTCAGCCCATCAACACCATACACCCTCAGCCTACTATCCACAACACCACCATCTTCCTGCGGCAGCATCTGATTCGTACCCGTAGCATGCCAGTTGGGAATGGTATTCGCCTTGATGTACTCTAGGATAGCTTCGTCGTCGTCATCAGCAACAGCCGGACCAGGGCTGACCTCTCCAGAATTCGGACCGATAGTGAAGCGCGACAAGGCCGGGTGGCGAAGGATAGCGCGGAGGTACTTGAATGAAGCGATACCGATGGCGCTGTCGGTGGGGTCGGCGTAGTAGTTGCTGTTGATGAGGGGGCTGTCGGACATGGAGGCACTGCGGAGGCTGACTGTGCCGCGGGAGAGCTGGACCATGCTTGATGCGGTGACTGAGATGTAGGAGTCGTTTGATAGCGGCGCCCAGTATGGTGTTGGAATCCATGGGTACCATACGCTCTCGAAGAGATACTCGATGTGAGTCTGGTTCGCCAGGCCAGCGTCGATGACAGCCTGAGCGCCGATGTCGCGTAGTTGCTGCTCGCTGAGCTTTTGGAAGCCGTTTGTGACACCGGAAGGAGCAGTATATTGGCCGGTGAGGTTTTGGTAGAATGCTTCCTGAGCAGCGCGCAGATTTTGGGGTGTACGAGACATATCCGTGGTGGAAGCGTTGTCCTGGGCACGCGCCATGATGCTGAAGACTGAGTGGTCATTGAGATGATGGCCAACATTCTCATTGACGACGACAGGCGTAATGCCAACCTTCTCGAGTTCATCGGCCGGACCAATACCTGAGACCATGAGGAGCTGCGGTGAGTGGAAGGCACCCATGCTGACGATGACTTCGTTTCGCGCTCTGGCTTGGCTTACGAAACCAGTGATTTGGTTGATGTAGCTGACACCAATGGCACGCGGCTTGCTAGTGGAGTTCGTCGATGATGGCTTGCTCATGACGATACCGGTCACAGGAGCGTCATGCAGCACCTTGAGGTTCGTTCGGTTGCGAGCTTGCTGATAGAAGCTGTCGTAACTGGAGCTCCTTCGCAGCATGCTGTCCATCGTCGTCGTTCCATGCTTGACCCCTTCGCCGTCTCCGAGGTTGAGATCCTCGACGATGGGGATATCGGCAGCCTCGCTGCAAGCAACGACGAATCCTTCGGTAGATGGTGGAACGTATCCCTGGAAACCCAGCTGGAGCGGCCCGTCGCTATAAGCATCTTCGTTGAACGTCTTGTACTCTTGGCTGAACGCCGAAAGCTCCGCCGTCGAGGTGGGCGCATTCAACTTCGTACTCTTCTTGAACAGGCGGTAGACATCGTTCCAGCTCCATCCAGGGTTACCCAATCTGGCCCAATGATCGTATACACTAGCTGAGCCCCGCGCATAGTAAAGACCGTTCGTCGTGCTCGAGCCACCGAGAGTTCGTCCGCGGAGATACTGGAGGGTGCGGTTGTTCAGATGCTCTTGTGGGGTGGTAAGCAGACCCCAGTCGATTACGCTGCCTTTGATGAATTGGTTGCCTCCCGGCGATTCGTATGCCAGAACTTGTTCGGGACTGGGCCCAGCTTCGAGAACTAGCACAGAGAAGTGTCCAGACTCAGTAAGGCGGTTAGCCAAGACGAGACCCGCCGTTCCTCCTGGTTAATGTTAGCAAGGTCTATGAGATGATCTGACGTTATGGACAGTATCCACAAACATGATTCGTCTGCCGATGATCTCACGCTGCGAACAAAGAGTTGAACGTACCACCTGCGACGATGAAGTCGTACTCTTCGTTGAAGACTGGTTCTTCAGTTTGACCTCCCTGTGAAGGAAGATCTCCTGGGCCTTGACGTTTCGCGAGCTGAGAGTTGTGTAGATTGTACGTTGGCCAGGCAGAAGTGATGCTGATCAAGGAAAAGACTGAAAGCAAGGCATATGTAGATGCCTTGGCGGCTGCGAGGTACCGCATGTTGAGGCCTTACTTGCTTTTCTCCGGTGTGATCACAACAGACACTTGCAATGCTTTCAGGCAAGCTCAGCTCAGGACAGAGAGAACGGGATTCTCGGTACTGAGATGAGCAGAATGTACAACGGATGTGACGAGACCGAGTACATCTCTTTATATCATGTCCATTGTACTGCCACCGGAAGCTGAACCAAGGCAGCGGAAGCCAAGACCTTGGGTATACACTTTCTGCGCCTTGGTAAAAGCCGTCTCATGTTGGAAAGAACAAGTCATAGTAGCCCAAGACTTGCTGTCAGCCACGCCGTGATTTCCGGCTGACTCCGAGAAAACCGGTGATGCTCGCCTTTCGTGTCTTACAGAGTTTCTAGATAAGCTTGGAGCTGTTTACGGTGAATCCTAGATCCTGGTTCATTGCGAGAGTGGTATAAGATCCGGTGGGTAGTGTAGGACCAAGGCTGCTTTGCTTACGCGAGCAGACGACGACGAGGTGGCGGAACAACACGTGTAGTATGGCGATGTACTTTGCCACAGTCTTGGTACCACCAAGGCTTGATAGAAGAAAGCGATGTGTGGCACCGCATGAGAACGCGTGGGCATCCTCGTAAAGCGGAAGGCTATGTCTAGCCAAGGCAGAATCGTCATTGCCGAGCCTGGGGCAACGCGAGATCACGGTCCAGCGTCGATCTACGTACTCCAATGTAAGCACGCCCAGCGCGTCGGGCCGGAGCTTACAGGTGATGTCGCATTGTTGACAATGCCAATGATAGGTGCCAATGCGACGGCTCGAAGAGCGCTTTCCGGGAGTGCGGGGAAGCTGAGCCACCGTGAAAACGACCGGTGGAGGACGACACGGACTTGCTCGGTACATGCAAAAGTATCTGGCCACCCAGGAGGACCTACGCGTACGAAAAAGGTTATTTGGTATCACCAAACACGTTGCGCGCTGTCATCTGCCAAAGCTGATGTTCGTGTTGAGTTTTAGGTGCCGCTGAACCCGTATTTTGGCATGTGCTCCTAGCTACTGGCTAGTGTCGTAGCAACTGGAGCCTCCTTTGCCGATGAGGTAGATTCGTAGTCATTCCATCGTGCTTGATGAAGGAGATGACGGCATGGTTTGTTGAGGTGGGGCTGTGTCATCCAGGTATCGCCCGCTGAAGGCATACATGGATACCCAGGGAGACGCTGCTCATCGCAGTATGAGGACCTTGATTTAGATAAACCCCGATGCATGACGGAGAGCTGATACGCTCGATCTGAACAGAAGTCGCGAGGTTTTGATGCGCATATGCTCGAGGTACATGGGGACGGTGAAAGCGGAAATGGGGGGAGAAGAGGAGTGTCGCGTCGGACGCGTCCAGCTCACAAGCCAGCCACGTGAATTATGTAAGCAGGCCCCACATGATCTGACCGGCGCTGCGTCTACCAACCTGAACGTAGATCGCGATACCAATCAGAGTTGCATTCCGCGAGGCTTATTATATCACAGGTATCACCGTCGTCCACAATGCGACATCCACTCTTTCGTGTAGCCATCCATGTAAGCAGTCCCACGATGTCAGCCTTTTTATTCTACACCTATCGCGTCGTAGCGCATGCCGAATCCCATTATTGCACCTGAGAGTGCCAATTACAAACCGTAGAACAGAGATTTGGGTACTATGAAGCATGATATTCAATGTTACATCCTTACGAGAAGGATATCTATGCATGGTCAGGCTTTTGCGCCGCTACCTTAGCACGCGCATCCGCAATCTTTTTCCTCTCTTGAAGCATCTTCTCCAAATACTCAAACAAGATATTCTCCTTCCTGATTGGATCTTTGAGCGTCTTCCAGTCCTGAGTCATGGCGCGCTCTGCTTTATAAAAATCCCTACGATCCTGCCATTCCAATCGGTTCCAATGACGAAAATCGCTCATCTCTCGACCCCGCCAGGCCCTCCTTTGGTTGGCTTTGTACGCATTATCGTTTCGCGCAAAGTGTTGCTTTAGCCTCTTGAACTGGCGTTGTTGTCCTTCTCGCTCCAAGCGTTTCGCCTCGGCTCCTTTGTCCTCTTCCGCGGGACGTTTGCGTTTAGGGGTCGTATCAGCGGCGTGCGACTTTACATATCGGTCTAGTAGCCATGGGCTGAGTGCAACGTCCGTGATGGACTTGCTAAGCTGTTCTCCATCATTGGAGGCTGCGAGAGCGCGGCGAAGTCGTGTTGATGATAGTGGTTCCTCTTTGTAGCCGAGAAACCAGACACCGCCTGTCATACCGAAGAAGCGTGTGGGCACATAACGCAGCCATTCTGTAGGTGGTCCTGTAGAGCGGTGACACATTCGCGTCTGTCCAAGGCGCCAGATACCTGTACGTAGTCGATCCTTGATCATCTGGAGCCGCTCGTCGCCTGGATCAAGATTAGCTGTGGTTGTGCAAGACATGGCATCGTACGTACGGTCGCCCGGAAGGTTCGCCATTGCGCGCGGAAAAAGCATTGATAACTTCTGCTCCAGCCACGTCAAGTTACCGCCAGCTCCCAACTGCTGGATAAAAAGTTCTTCGAGTGTTTCGGTGCGCCAGTCGTTGTAAGCTGTCAATTTGCGTAGTCCCGTTTCCGTCTCCATGCGTAGGCTGGTGCGTTCTGGATCCCCAGTACCAACGACTATAGTAGGCCCCCAGTATCCGGGGGACCCATATTCTTGATCAACGTGATCAGGTCCAATTAAAGTGATGAACCGTATGTTGAAGCCATCTGTTGCGGCCTCTGATATGAGTCGGTCCTTGAATGCTTCGGAGCCTGGCTCACCACGTGGGTGACACCAGTGCCAGCCACCATGGAGACCACTATTGTTGATGAGGTTAAGACGCTCTTGTAGGGTAAGAACTAGGTCCTTTGAGCCCGGTTTTCCGCGTCTGTACTTCGAGGCTACGGAATAGTCGTCCAAAGGGAAGATGATGGCGGCTATCAGGTGTATACCCTCCCCACCTCGAAAGAAGGCGTGGCATAATGTTTCCTTGTGTCCTTGATGAGGCGGATTGAAGCAGCCCCGGAAGGTCAAGATGTAATTGAACCTCCCCTTGATCAAATATGGCGGTGGCATGTGAATGCTGGGCCTGAATATAGTGGCAGTAGGATCTCCTAACGCTCGCTTGATGTACACCTCCAAGGGAGCAGTTGAGCTCATGACTACGGGTCAGTGCTTGGATAAAGTCGGTGGAGGTTGCCAGATCCTGTAGTGGGCAGTACTTCTATCCTCTCAGGGGTGCTGTGAAGAATATTGATTGCTCCATCGAGTCTCCACCGTGGAGAGCCATGGCCCGAGAGCCAACTGCGACAAGCAGTTTCACCCGTATGATTCTACACATTCATTCATTGTAGGTTTCATGCGAATGCGGGTACGCTTTGCTGACGGTCGAGCGAGGACATGGTCGCCTGCCACACGAACGGTCATTCAACGGATAGGACTGTTGTAGATACATGCGAGGTTATGTCGCATCTTTCCATCACACCTATTGCGCAGGTGAGCGCGGAAGGACTCGTGCTCATTGAATTCCCGTGCCGCCTGTTCAAAGAGCATGGCAAGCCATCTCGGTTCCAACACTTGAGCTCATCTCTTCGGTGCTCTACGTGCTATTGGCGGCTTCGTTGGATATGCGACCGAAATTTCGCAGGTCGTCAGTCCCGTAGCTACGCCTCCGATCTCGTGATCCATGCTCTAGATCTTTGCTTCCTGGTGAAAGTCAGACTCCGCGCCGATCACAAGCCATTGTACAAGGCATGCCAGCTTTCACCAGAACGTACCGACGGCAGGTGCACGATCACCAAACGGAATGACGCGCTTCCACGAGGTAGTGGGGCTGGGCTAGCGTGAGGACTTCGGGGGCGAAACTATATCTCGATGCTGCAGTTGCCCGTGGAAAGTTTCGAACGTGCTCTTTTTAGAATGCACTGCCGACGTGAACCCGGTAGCACACGTCATCGCAAGGCCAGAATCTTTCTCTTGCGTACTGTTACTGTAATGACCTAGTGGTACAGATCTGCGTACGTAGTAGAACCCTCGCGAGTAGTCGTGATGAGTAAAGTAGGGGTTGGCGGTGCATTGCGACCTGCTGGAGAGGGCTGCCGAGTTTGACAAGATCTGTAAATGCGTCGTTGATCTGAGGGCACGATGCCACGAAGAGGACAGCTTCCTTAGGGCTGAACGCACAAGATCCATCGAAGACGGATTCTCGATGGTGGGAAGCCGAGGCTGGACGCATCGTGTAGCAAACTATGTTGCGCCTTCCACGAGGTTGGGAGGCGGCTCTTCCGGATTCTGCGGGGCTGCGCTAAGCGTTTCTGAACTAGCGCATGTGTCCAAAGGGGTGAGGCTTGTCGCGGAAAGGCTTCCGTGCATCATCATCGGCATCCACCAAATATCTGAGCTTCGCGCTCGAGGCTGAAGTCTTTTCGCGAGCTACCTTTGGTGTGCATATTGGGCATCTACGAGGTGACTGATAATAATTTCGACCACAGCTCGCCACAGTCAAAGCTCAGAGTCAGCGTGCATACCTAGACAGGTGGCCTTGGGCTGAGGGCTGAAGGCTCATGCAAGTTTAGCACAGTGGCAAGACCGTTCGGGCTGACATACAGAAACGTAGCAGCAGTAGCTCATTTGCAAGACGCAGTAGTTTGTATTATGTTGAAGCCAGCTTCATCGGCGAAGGTATTGTACAGGCAGGGTGTTTGTAAATATCCGTATTCCTATTCATTGTTCTGCAGTGGGGTATTACAATGTCGTAAGGACAAAAAGGAAATCAGGCTGGTGTGGGTGTGGGTATGCGCAATAACAAGAACGCTATCATCATTCGACCGTATGCTCCGCTGCCAACCTCGGTAGAGTTCCTCGTGAATGGATCGTCTCGCTCAGTCCCATGGGTCTTTCATCCAACAGCCTTCCATCGTTCTCTTCGTCGACCTTTTTGAAGCTGTCGTGGACCAAACCCCTTCGAGGGTCTTCGTGTTTGCCGCTGAGCTTGCTCTTTGTACGGCCGGAGATTGGGGATGGGAATGTAGTTCCGTCGCTCAGCACCATGGCGGAGGGAGGTGCAGCAGGCATCTGGCGCGGTAGGTCGAGGGAGCTACTGTCCAGAGAAACGTGGTCTTGCGTGCGTCGGACGATTGGGTTCTGTGATGTCGCGGTCGGTGCGTCGCTTTCGCCACGAGAATGCCGTTGGCCGTTTGCGTTGTTCTTGCGTCTGCGCAACCACCAGACCAGAGCGACAATTAGAAGTGCACCAACTATGCCCCCGATCGCTGCTCCAACTATAGGGCCGATTTGAGTCTTTGCCTTTGCGCCTGGCAAGACGCGACACACTTGCTTGACCTTCGCATCGGCGCCTTTGGGGTCGGCTGCTGTGACGACTGCAGGTGCGAGCTGGAAGTTTTGCGCGTCGGGATCGACGATGAGGTAGTTTTGCGTGAAGAAGGGTAGGCCCAAGGTTCCGATAGTCATAGTGCTAGGACCGGTTTGGTTCGTCACGGCCATGTTGAAGACTGTCGCATTATCCACTTCGTACAGCCCAGCGGCATTGTATGCTCGGGGCCGACTGTAGAGCTCAGCTGCAGGAATGACTGACTTGTAAGTTGCGACTGAGGGTTTGGATGCGTCGCCGCCCGGGGTGCCCATGTCCGACAGCGTGACGGTGATGGTGCCTGCAGGAGCTGGGTCGGTAGGAAGCTCGAAGTGACGCGAGGTTTCGTTCCAAAAGGCAGTAGTCTCCGCCGCTGCAAGGTTGTCCAACATCGCAGCTGGCAGTCTAATGTCAGATGAGAAAGGGTCTAGATGTACGACAAGAGTATCCTTTGCGTCAGCGAAGAGCGTGGTGCTCTTACCGCCAACATCGTACGTGATAGCCGTAAGAATAGCGCATGTTGGACAGTCGGAAAACATAGGAAAGGTAGTGGCTGCACTCTTCAGGCGGCTTTCGTCGTAGCCGCCAACGACTATCAAGCCATCTTGAGGTGCTTCTTCAGATTCTGATCCGGCCCATAGTCCATACGTTCGGGAAGAAGCTTGGCCGGCGTCCACGAGGTAGTTCAAGAAGCTCGAGTCCATTCCCAGAGGCAGAGTTGCTCGATAGCTTGGCTCGTTCTTCATGAGCGCGTCTGCGCTTGCTACGACGCGTCAGTGCTGTAACGACCCAATTTTCTCAAGGACTTACTATCAGTGGAGCCATTGGTATACATGGGAAAGGTCGCGAACTTGTTCGCATCCGGCTTGAGACCAAAAGCTGCAGCATCGTCGAAGAAGATGTAAGAGCTCGCGTATGCTAGATCAACAGACTCTCTGCTGCCTGTCCATGTCGCGTAGTCTACCTCTTTGAACGTAGTCGAAGTTGCACTATCGTAGATGCCACCGAGTTGGCCAATGCAGCTGGTGTTCGTAGCTGCCACGCACTCCGCTGCATTATTAATGAAGAGATTGTCGGAAAGCGTTGATGGCGTCAAGGAAAAGGGTTGCGGAGGAGTGCCGATAGCGAAAGAAATGCCTCTGGTGAGGACAGTGCCGTCAGCGGAGACAGTGTTGTTTGCCCAAGGCAGGAGCAACGGCTTGGAGCCGTTTGCGCAAGCCATCGTCCCTTGGTAACGATGGATGTCCTCCAAAAATGTAAGATCTGGTGTTGTGTATTTGTGACAGCGTCAACCTCGCACGGGTATTTTTGGCGTCAGCCATGACTGTCCCTGATATGGATTGCAGGGACGCATTAACAAGGGGATGATCTGCTAAGCTTGGGCATGGGCACCTAGGCTATGGGGATCGGGCGTTGACGACACCTGCAGACCTGAAAACTCGGGTAAGGAAAAGAACCCTATTGGATTGGTCCGTCATGATGTACTTCGGGTACATACTACCTAGAGTCTCAGAATGGTCGGTACCTGGGCGACGAGACACATGCGCTTCTCCACAGCTTCATCTCGTTCTGTTACTCCACGGTACGCAACGAACACACTCGTCTCCATCTTCAAAGTAGTCCGGCGACCGCCGATGCTCTGCGTAGAGTGGTGACGTCACAGCGTAGGTGCAGGCGCAGGCCTTGGTTTGTTGACATCCGCGAGTCGCCCTCATCTTAGATTCAAGGAATCTTGCTGTTCGTGTCGCAATTCTCCTGACAGGACGGGCCTTTTGCGGCGAAGGAAAATGTTAATTCGGACCGTTGACGTCGGAACGTTGTTCAGCCACGCGCTGTCCCGTCCATCGAGCCAATCAGCACTTGCCGACTCACTAGCGTCTTTCGGGGACATGTTTCGCGTATGCAAATCTCGCTCGCTTCTCTGATAACTCCGTCGATCGTGTGCCCAACCTCATAGTCGGGGTACATGCCCAAGTTCGCCTCTCCCTGTCTTTGCGTGTTCGAGCCTCGATGGATTTTCGATGAGACCGGAGGTGGTGGGTACCGTGGTCGCGCATCATTTTTTGACGACGCACTGTGATTGGAAGGCAATAATTTCCAGTCCGATAAGATGAGGTCTGTCGCGTCGCGTTATACTCAACGGGCTCGTAACCTACGTTCACCGACCTTTGGCGTTACGAGAGTCCGCATCACGCATGAAGGCCTGACCTTGAGTAGGTGCATGGAGATTTTAGCAAGTTCAGTTCCCTACATGATTACTGATGTGTGTCATAAACCGCCACTCGACCTCAGCTCTCAGCCCTCATTGTCCTGAAGTGCATCTTGGGCATCTTCTCATGATGTGAAGACACTTGACTTCACGTCTCTCCTTTTTGCATCCTCCAACTCACCCGTGACACCTCGGCATTGCCGATCAGCAAACGGAGGCCTCCTCGTTATGTCGCATTGGATGCGGCGTGCTGTAGTTCGTAGTCTTGTCACCGAAAGACTGTGGCCTTTCCATTTGGTCATCTAGCCCAAATGAGAACGCAGGCCTTGATCTACCAAGGCTCGAGATCAGGCTCCAAGTACCTGACTCAGAAGATGTACCAAAACCTTCCGTATTATCGCGGCTCTTTTTGTCAACTTTGCTCGCGGGACGTCTAATGCAGATGTATTGTTTGTAAACTGCATCTTCAGTCCACCAAGTTGATGGCATGGGACCGCATGCGCAGCCCGGACATGGTAAGTCGGAGAAGAGTCATGTTGAGACGAAACTCTTGAGAGTGTCACATTGCCTCCACCGACACGGTTCGGCGTGGAGCATTTCGGTGATCAGGGGAGATGGAAACGAAGATGGGCTTCGATAGCATGACTCAGTGCTTTGCCGATACAGATAACTGGTTCGTGAAGGCGAAGGTGTCGGGTGGTGTGCCTACATGATGTAAATGGCTGCGGCGCCCAGTGCCGTTCTTATTGAGGCTGCGCTGTAGCTAATTTCTGTAGATCATTTCTTCGTCGTAAAAGAGAAAGACCAAGAAACATTGTGGCAATACTGATACTAACCAATTCGTGACATTGAAGGGTCTCTTCTCGGCCAAGAAGCTTGGTGACAAATCGTCGATTGAAGACTAGCCAGGAGTAACAAACTCGAGATACAAGTAGAAATGAAGGACGATTGTGGAGTTGAATAAGTAAAATGCTCCACATGAGGATCCACAAAGCGACGCGACCGATCATGCCATTCACAGTCGCTGCCGAGTTGCTCCGGCTGTGTGCAGCGGTACTGTAAACGTGAGTACCATTTTCCTTCATCCTCAACACCCATCGGTACTGTGACTGGTGTAGAGTCCGCTATAAATCCATGTCCGTGTCGGTAGCCGTCAACACGAACAATTTGTTCCCTTCTGTCGTTTTTGGGGCGGCTCCAGCAATTTATGCGTTACAGCACGTCTGCTGATACTTGGAATTCGACATACATGTCGTGTCCGGATCTTTGAAGCTTCATGGAAGTGAACAGCGATGTGATCCAGATCATAGAGCAGACGTATTCTGATCGCAGAGGATTCCAACACTTCTCATAACGAGTATCTGAGAAGGCGTTGTGGGTATTCAATGTGTGGAACAAACACCAGCTGGATTAATCCCGGTAGGACACTCTTCGATCGTAGGCTCTCTGGATATCGTACAACGCGGTATGCTTAGCTGGAAATCATATATAAACGAACTGAGAGGTGATGAGATGGATGGTGTTGATGAGCGTTCTGCCCGCATTGTCACGGGGCGACGCGCGTCGAGTCATGGCACTGATTTCGGCCCCATCACTCCGGTTGCCACTTCTACGGACTCTTCCGCACCTGGCACTCGACCAAGTTCCCTTGATTGAGGCAAACTCAATGTCATCGGTGTCATTTTACTGAAGAGACGCCCAGAATGCGCTCTGAGGAAGTTGATGCGGCGCCGGTTAAAATGGCTAAAGTGCGATCTTGGTCATTGGGGCGGGACACGCACAAGTAAACATTCGCGCTAAAAAAGGAAACGATGCCCATGTGGTTCGTGGCTTTACGGGTGGGCTAAATCTCCACGGCTTCTCCTGTCGTCATCGAGTTTAATGAGATCTGCCGGAGAACTGGAGTGTAAGGTTAGGGGACAGAGAATGCAATGATTGATGCGACGTAAGGGAGGAAAGATAATAATAAACAGAATGTTGGATTGACGTCGATTGAATGCGCGATATATTGATGTGCATGTTGATCGCAGTTTACGGTGTTGTGGGTCGTCAATCAACCGTGAGCGCGGACCCTGAGCGGCCAAACCCAGCAACCAGGCATCTTCCCCTCATTTCTGCCATCTCTTCGACCATCATCATCACCACCACCGCCGACAAGTGCATCAGACCCTCGGATGGATGGAGTGAGCGCTTGAGGCTGAGGATTACTTGACATTAACCGGTCAGTCTCCATCAACGCAGCCGTATCTGCACCTGCGTTGTCGACATGAGTGGGACCTGCATCTCACGTGCCTGTCTACCCCGGATGTGCATTTCGCTTAGGCAATGGCCGCTGGCGCCCAGAACGTCTACCCCAGAAGTAGGACCAGACCCCGATGATCCCGAGGTCCAAGCCGGTTGATTTGTGGATTAGTCTGGAGAAACTCCGCAACCCGCAAGCAGGTGGCGCCATGCAGCCAGGCCAAAGGACTTACAGCGGCGAAGGACAAGTTCGCACATGAGCCACGAGCCCGGTTAAACAAAACGACTGGGGTGAAGATGAACCGCGAGAGCGGGTAGATTGATTGAGCATGCATACGCTAGACTTCTAGAATAACCGTCGAAGAATATATAGGATGACAGGCTCGCCGTGTCTTTAAGGGTATCCGTGGTAGACAACCTCGAATCAGTCAACACTCCAAGTCTCAATCACCATGCGTTTCTCCAGCATCGTCGCCAGTCTGGCGATTGCCAGCTCCGCTGTTGCCAGCCCGTAAGTCATCCGCATTCCCGCCACCATTGTAGCCAGCTAACATTGAGATAGTACATACGGCCATGGCAAGCCCAAGGAGGACAGTCTCTACAAGGCCATGAAGAAGGCAGGAAGGGAATTCATCGGCACAGCCCTGACCCTCCGCAACGAGACCCGCGAAGGCGAGATCATCAAGGCCGACTTCAACTCCTTCACTCCCGAGAACGCAATGAAGTTTGAGTCTGTTCATCCAAACCAGGGCAACTACACCTTCGCGGATGCCGACCGTTACGCGGCATACGCCAAGGCGAACAAGCTTGAGGTCCACTGCCACACTTTGGTCTGGCACTCTCAGCTGCCTGCTTGGGTATCTGAGGGCGGCTTCGACAACAAGACCCTCATTGGCATCATGGAGGACCACATCAAGACCGTCATGACCCGCTACAAGAGCGTTTGCACACGCTGGGACGTAGTCAACGAGGCCTTGAACGAGAACGGTACCTACCGCTCCAGCGTCTGGTACGACACCATCGGCGATGCCTTCCTTCCCATCGCTTTCCGCTTCGCCAACAAGTACCGCGGCAAGGCTGACCTCTTCTACAACGACTACAACCTCGAGTACAACGCGGAGAAGACCCAGGGTGCTCAGCGTATCGTCAAGCTCATCAAGTCGTACGGCGTCCGCATCGACGGCGTTGGCTACCAGGCCCATCTTGCCAGCGAGCCCACCCCTAGCGCTCCTGGTGCCGCTCCCGATCAAGCAACACTTGAGGCTGCCCTCCGCGCGACTGCTGACCTCGGCGTTGACGTCGTCTACACCGAAATCGATCTCCGCATGCTCACACCCGCCACTCCCGAGAAACTCCAGGTCCAGGCCGATGCTTTTGAGCGTGTCGCCAAGTCGTGCATGAACGTCAAGCGATGCATTGGTATGACTGTCTGGGGTATTTCCGACAAGTACTCTTGGATCCCTGGTGTCTTTGAGAACGAGGGTGCTGCTCTTCTCTGGGACGACAACTACATGAAGAAGCCTGCCTACGCTGGCTTCCTCAAGGGCATCAAGGCCAAGAAGGGTCACTACTAGACGAAAAAGAGAAAGACTGTATGACTTTGTAGATATTGAGTAATGTATACAATGTATTAAGACTATTTACATCAAAACGAGCATCACATGACCGTTCCATCCAAGTGCGTAAGGAGTCTTATTGCATCAATGCTGGAGGTCGTTGCTACTGCTACGATTTGATAACGGGCTATCAGCACGCGCGATAACCAGCCTTCACAACGAGACCTAGCGTAAATCATCACTATGCTATATTAACGCTGTTGAGGTACCGAGGGAAAGCGTGGTGATAAATAGTCCTAAAGCAAATCCACATTTCACACCTCCCCCAATCACGAGATCTGCCTCGGGTATCTTTCAGCTCTTCACCATGGAAGATACAGGGTCTCGTAAAGAACTGCGTCGCGCAGTCGCAGAACATGAGAAAACGCTAGAGAAAGATCATCGACGTCTTCACTTAACGACGCTCCGCATGAGCATCAAGGATTACACCGAGCCTTGCTATAGCGGCGCATCACACCTACATCGCCTAGTATGTGGCCATACCGTTCACACTGAGCAGGTATCATTATGCAGAAGGAACTGTACGACGCCCATCACAAACTTCACCGCCTTCGCGTGTACTCTATGCGAACGTCAAAAGATGATCCAATCTGGCCAGATCGAATATCGTACTTCAAAACTGACTGAGCTCATCTTGCCCAACTTTCCGCCATTCCATCAATCCCACGTGCCGGTGATGATGCGCGCTCGTGAGTGCGACATCGCAGTGGTAACGTCCTCGAAGCACTTCTTCGTGCCTAGCACGCCCGAAGATATTGCTGCGTACCGGGTCAACGATAAAAGGCGATTGGAAGGCCTTCTCGAGGATGTTGTTGATGTCGCAAAAGATATGGGTTTCTCTCGGACCACTATCAACGGCATTACGGACGGATTGACCACCTGCGTTGACCATCAGCATATCTGGGTGGATGCGAAACATGAACAGTTCGCTGCTGTAGTCTTGTACCTGAGCGCCGTACAAGCGGGTATCAAACAGCCTGGTATGTTGAACCAGCTATCGATGTGCTTTGGTGCATCGATGAAGGGTATCAAGCAGCTACTCCCACCAGTGTCAAAACTGCTCATCGATACCAGCGCAAGGTTTGCCCTTGCTGACTTTATGCAAACATTCGAAAAGACATACCCTGCCTATCAAAAGCATTCAAAATATCTTGCTCGGCTCCAGCTCAAGTTATGGCGTCTGGTACTGGACCACTGTCTCTTCCCGTTCAAATTCATCACGGCGAACTGGCGACACGTCGTAACATCCTGCATATATGCGGTGACTACAGTCAACGACGTCTATCTTGATACCGAGGAGATCAACGCCGCGATAGATGCACGTAGCCCTAGCATTGGTGGCGAGGACCTGAACACGTTCCTGCTTTCCAATATTGTGGACGACAAAGCTTACCAGATCAAGCACTAGCTACTAAGGCGCGGCGCCAACGTAAGCTCAAAGCCCGCTCAGGGACACGTATTGTCCTTGATGTCGTTGCTGCCCTTCCCGCAACAGACTCGGTTATCGGTTTAGATCGGAGCTTTGGGACGATCTCAATCAACGAGTCTAGGAGGTGGGTCGATAACAGCTCACCCAGCTTTTGCAAGGTCAGTATCCTCATGTAGTAGGCTAATGAGACGGGGAGTCATACCCCCAAGGTGATGTCGAGCCGCGAGGCAAGGTTGGGCAAAGCTTCCCCGGCCCAGGATATATCGCATCCACTCTTGTTTTACGAGCTTTTGGATACTGGTAGAGGCCTACATCAAACTCAAAATCTCTTTTTATGATACCTATGTGCCTATGTAGTCATCCCAATACCCCCAGTACTTTATGCGTCACGATAGATTGGACAGCGGAAGAAGCGTGTGTTGGGAAGACCGTTTTGACCAGTGCAAGCAAGCGGCCAATTAGCACGTTTCCAAAGCGATATGCGCTCGCCTTTTCCACCCTGTCTATGCTGCCAGGCCGTATCCCAGCTCAATGTCGCTGATGTGTCACTGTGATCATATCAGCAACTCAAGAGGGTCACGACTTAGAACGTGGCTCAATGGCGCTTCGCCGTCACTTATCAAGTCTTGGTCTTCTCAACTAATAGGAAACGCCGATGGGGGGCACCTCACATAACGTTCAATGTGTCACGATGAAGTGGAATGGCAAAGAGGATATGATTGAGAAGATGTCTATATTGGCGTCAAGAGATCACCTTGACAAAATCCTGGTGCAATGTAGAATCCACGGTCATCTACCTGGTGCATACCAGTGGACGTAGAGTCACTGTGCCTCCATCCTGCGATCATAGCAGCGACTGTTTGACATGGATTGTAGCCACAAATTTGGCGCATCAACCAGTCATAGTGGTGGTAGCTCATGCGTAGAAAGACCGAGTGACGCTCGTGCAGATAGCAGTGCTTCGACCAGGGAACCTTCGCTCGTAGGACTGGGCAGCCTTGAACTCCGCTTTGTACTCTTGAGTCCGGACGTGGGTGCGAACTGCGACATCCATGATTTGTTGTAGCTCCGAGCTGGCTTGCGCATACTTCTCGTCGTCCAGGTCGATAAGGCCCGCTAGTGACAGGCCGCTATCCACTCGCCACTTGTGCGCCGCTTCGTTGAGATGGTCTGCTACCAATCCCACCAGGCCGTAACTCAGGTATGGATTGCCGGGAATCTTTGCAAGTTCCTTCAACCGGGCTTTGTTCGTGCCAACAGGCTGCACCTTCTGCACCTCTGCAAAGTACTTGTTTGCGTATTTGTCCCAGTCCGAGAAGGCTTGACAGATTCCGTACTGCGCGCCGCTGATATCGATAATCCATTCTTTCTTAGTCTTGCTCGATGTAATGCGGATGACGTCGTGGTAGTAGTTGGGCCAGTTGTTGTCACCGCCACCGCGATCGTAGTGAACGGTGATCTTTCGGGGTACAGTGCCCAGGCTCACGGAGACTTCTTCGGTCTTGACGTTCAGATCTGTGAAATTTGCGTGAGCAAAATGGTACAGAATTAATTTTGGGCAGGGATTACCATGAAGAAGACCGATGAGGATATCGTGCATCCAGGCCGTGGGCTCATTACACACCAAAGCACAAAGCACTGCCTTCTTGGTGCGATCATCGGCAATCAGGTGGTGCGGGAAATTGATGAAATACCTTTTCTTCTTGAGTGCGTCGCCGTCGTATATTACCAAGGCGTCGTCTCGATCTTCGATCTTGATGATAGACGTGTCCCAGGTGTTCTCGCGGAAGTCGTAGTAGGCTTGCTGAATGATCTCGGCTACACGCGCGAGCTTCTTCTCCAGATGAGCGTTCTGAGCGTCCTTGCAAGCCTTCTTGTGAGTGGGCCAATCTTTCACCTACATCGATGATGTACGAAGTCAGTGTATATCTCACACGCGGTTCGTACATGGGATATCTCACCTGGCAGGCCTTGCCGCAGTACTGGCGCGTTGAGGTATCCGACTTGCAGGCGGGGCATCTGCTGTTGGCCGGCTCGCCGCAGACGGCGCACGCCGCTGCTTGTGCTTCTGGCGCCATGGATTACGCTAGGCTGGGTTGCGTTGTTGTCTTCGAGAGTGGAGTGGGTGAGTGATTGTGTTGTTGTGGGCGCAGCGAGATTTTCAGGTGAAGCCGGCCTATATATCTTCCGGTCGCACGCTAATAGCGAGGTGAAGGTGAGTTACGTGCCTTTGGAAGCTTCCAGATGCGCTAGAGGCGGTAACGATTCGCGTCGCATTCTAAGAAAGATCGAGGAATTTTCTAGCTAGAAGTATACATTGTCTCAAAGACTGTACACTTGCTAAAATATAATGTTGTGTATGCAGCAGACGTTGGAAATGCTATATGTGAGAGACGAAAGCCAGTGTATGATCTTGATCAATAAATGAATTTGTAACTCACATCAATTGTTCGCTACTCGTGGCCATGCACCGTGAGCATCTCTAACTAAAGAGACTTAAACTCCCTATCACCATATCCACGCCAGGGCCCTTGTGTTGTTGCTCGAACCTCGCCAGATCCAAAGCTACGTTAGGACGGTTCGCTTTCTCCTCGTCCGTCATAGCATCGCCAAGAATGCTAGCGTGATGGAAATGTCTCCTCGTCATTTCTTGCGTCAGACTCGCGGGCTCATGCATGATCTGAGACATGAGTCCACCGACGTTGTAGTTGGAGATGTACGCATGAACAGCCTGAGACAAAGCGTCAACCAACGGTTGTGTCCAGCTCGTCGACCCTGCGATGCTCCCCTTACGAAGATTTCTCAAGTCGTTTCCAGGCTGCTGCAAGAAGGTCAGTAGTGCTGTTTCCATTCGTGATGAGGCCTGAAGGCCGATGCGCTCTGTGTGCGCAAACCAGCCTGGCATGGTTGAGCAAGTCCAGATGTATTCTCTAGATTTACCGAACTCGAAGACTGAACAAAGCGCCTGCATGTGCTTGGATTCGAAGTCGGCAGCGGTAAAGAATGCTTGCGTGAGCCCGAGCTCAGCACCGGATAGGTTGATGTACCATTGCTTTCGGCTCCCAATGGCGGTAATTCGTAACAGTGCAATATTGTGCTCAGGCCAATTCTCGCTCTCTGTACCGTCATCTGCGAGGGTAAGAACGGTGCGTGATGCTGCCTTGATCTTTACCATGACTTCGTGAATGTCAACATGTTTGGCTGGTCAAGTGTCAGCTTATCATTAAATCGCGCGCAGACATATGCCGGGCCACTTACTCTTGATGAGCTTTTTGAGCAACAGATGCATATATGCTAGGGGTAAGAATCGCGCATTGCAGCACAGCACCGCGTGTTTGGTGGCTGTATCAGGGAACACATTGTCAGTGAGCTTCGGGAACGGGTTGTTGCTAAAGTTAACACCCTTGTAGGCGACGATCTTCTGATTGTCCAGTTCAATTTTCGTAATCAGCATCATGTTTGTAGCTTCCAGGAGCGCAAGAGAAGCTGACTGAATGACGTTGGCAACTTGCGGTAGAAAGGCTTCAAGCCGAATGTCGTGGCAGGTGTGCATGTGATTTGTCCAATCAGCCTTTTGGTGATCCTGGTTGCAGTAGTAGCGTTGTTTGCAGCCGCATCTTAGTGTTGCTGGCCCGTGGCAATAAGAGCAGAATGTAGAAGCCATGGGCAGAGAATTGCAAAAGACTTTTTGAGAGATGATGTGAGAAGCCAGAAAAGGCTGACATTCCCTAGCTAGATATACTTCCATCCTATCGTCATGGGTCGAAACGCTACGCAGCTGACCGCAGGCGTGATCATAACGAAGGCAACAAACATCGACTCACACAAACAACGAGACTATCCCTATGCTAGCAGATACAAGACTTCGGTAGGTTGCAAAGTGGCGAAAGATGCGAAGACGAGGTTGCTAGATTCATCGAAGCTTGCAGGGGTCTGTGTGAGCGCCATGTCAAAAGTGCCGTGCTGGCTGGCTGTCGGAGGCAGGAGCAGAGAGGAAGGCGACGACTGGACCAATGAAGCGTCCACGGGTATTGATGCGGCAGATCGCACTACAATGGTTATGCAGTCATTCTAGAAGGCGATACGAGCGGCCTGGCAAGTGTAGACGATGATGGCTGCGATGAAGAAGACGCGCTGGAAGAGAAGACGCGACATCCGGAAGGATGACGATAACAGGGTGCGCGCTAGACCACATGCGCACTAGTCCCTTGTCTCACCCGCGGAGCCTGATCGTGAAATCGGAGCAGACACCTTGTGTTTCTTGAGGAGATAATGAGTAACGCAATGTTTGAGTCGACATGTCAATTCGAATCTAGCATTCCACTTCAATCTATGTGTAGCAGGCTTCAGCGCCTAAGTCTGGTACATTGGCGCTCCAAGCGACAACTCATGTAGACTACCACCCCCAATAAGGCGAGTATTCAGCACCTGATGTAGCTCAACAGCAGATACCCGATTGGCCGGCAAGAGTTCTAGACATCTCTTCAAGATATCGTTGAGCATAGGCGTGTAAGTTGCCCCAGCTGGGCTGCTTTGAAACGACTGTAAGTAAAGGCTCGGCATCGTGGTCAATCTACACAGCGCAACGATAACCAATCCTACCTGAAATACATCACTCCTTTTATTGTTCGGCGGTTCGAATGGCGGTGGGCTAAAGTCTTGTTGCTGTCGCAGCTCAATGGTTTGCCAGTCGTCGGTGCGCGATATGCTTGAGCCAAAGTCTCCGAGAACGACTTTGGGCCATGAGGGTTCGTGAGAGGCAGGGAGCCCGAGAAAGATATTGCGCGGGTAGATGTCTCGATGCAGTATCCAATCGTAGTTATCGTGCAGGACTGGAGGATCGCCTCGCTGCATGTGTCGGAGAGCCCGGGCCAAGGATCTGAAGACGTGCCAGATGAAGCTCTCGGGGAAAGGTTTGCGCTGGCTGACATGCTTCTCGAGCAAACCCCATAGATCACCGTATGCATACACATCCATGACAAGTGCGCCAGTCCCCGTTGCTAAGTCCAGCTCATGCTCGCGGTAGGTGCAGATGTTGTAGCAGTTGGATAGACGTATGAGATGACTTATCTCGCGGGCAGCAAAGCCCGACGCAACATCTTTAGGATCGAACTCTTTGCGCACAGCAAGCTGGCCAGTTGTTTTATGCCTGAGCAGCCAAATTGCCTTGTGGAAGTTGCCCACGACCTGTATTTGGCGTACACGATCATATTGGTTGCGCGTCGGGACGCTGGCACGTTGTAAATCCATCATGTTGCTGCTCATCCGATCTAAAACCGGTCTCTCAGCGCGATATGGCTCATAAATACTAGCCCGGCGTGTTGGCGACGCGTTTGTTGCCTGTTGGCGCTGCGTTTCCTTGATGCAATGACAACTTCCGATCGTCATAAGTGCCACATCTCGTGGGCATGGCGAACGAAAGCCGATGGCCACTTTACAGCGCTTTCGTGGCATGGCCTCCTCTTCTTCTTCGCGCTCTCACTTGGGCGCGCTATCGCTTGGGTGGTCTCTTAACGCGCTCTCACTTCCGCTCTCTCACCTCACAACAGCCGCCACGCGACCGCAACAACGCGCTTCTCTCACCTGCTCCCAAAATCTCCACTCTCACCTCTCCAACCACATACCCCGCAGTTATAACCCACCTAATCCCCGGATCCACCATCGAAACCACCTTTACCTGCCAACAAAAGGGTGGCGGCTAGCACACAGAAAAAACATTCAGCACTCCAGCCGGTTATAGCCGAAGTCAGAGGAAGCTCAAGGCCACAAACAAGAATTGAAGAAGAAGCCAATCAGAAAAAACATCAAAGCTAGTCGTGATAAACTGCCATTAAAGAAGCAAGTTTCGTACCTGGATAGAATACAAGGTTCCATGATATCTTTTTGCTGGTTGAGGCTGATGGTTCGAGGCTGGAGAGAGGAGGGATATGATGTTCTTTTTGCTGATTCTTTTTGATAAGTGAAAAGTTGTAATGCGCACGGCTGGGTGCGGGCGCGCGTTTGCAAAGCAAGATAGGAAGAGGAGTGTCTGCAGGTTATTAGTACTGCAATGCAGCGTAGTGGCACTGTACACTAAGTCCTCTTTCATGGGTGGTAGTATCTAGAGATTAACTTTTGCTGATGATTTTCTCTTTCTGTACTGCAGGTTCTTTGCCCCCTACAGACGGACCTAATAGCGAGGGCATCCAACACGACTGGACAAGTTGCACAGTATTCGTCAAAGATCGTGAATGAAGGATTACGAGGGAGACGTCTGTCATCGCGTGTCGCAAGGTATCAGAAGCCCAGGAAGTGGTATTGGTCTTGTGTTTGTATTGGCGCATTCCGCGCGCAAGGGTTTGGTAGATTCCCGCTCTCCAATGGATGCGGAGGATCAGCGAAGTTATCAATCGTGTCTCTCAGCTCTTCCTTCGACGTAAGCTATTAAACCCGTTGACGCTGTGGATCGCAAAGCACACGGAATAGAGCGAGTGATTTTTGACAAGACTGCTGCGTCCGAAATGGCTACAGGTAAAGGTGACAAAAGTATAGGGTAAGACAGCAATCGGAAATAACGATAGAGTGACTAAGATTACATTCAAATACCGACTGCGCATGCGAACAGCATAGGAACGTTGCGAGCGACGTAGATAGAGGTAAGGTAGATGGAAGTATGACGAACGAACGTCTGTGGTGCGCGGAATTGACTAGCCAATCAGGCTTTGCATAGCTCCGAGTGGGGCAGCCACCCCTCGAAGCCCGCGTCTTTCTCGTACGCGACCTCATAATCTGCAGAAACGTCGCTTTTATGCAGTCTGAACCGCTCCGCATAAGTACATACTCCTCAAAGCGTAAAGGGCTGGCTGAAATGTTGTTCCCGTGCAATGCGTCAAAGTCGGGGCACTAGAAGCGCATAGCACAATGACCTCTGGATGAAATGCACAACGCGGAGAGCCGGACATGGCAAAAGCAAAACAAGAGCTTGAAGGAACGGCAAACTTGACATTGCAATGATGATTAGTGGGCCGAGGCGACGTCTTCACATGACGATCAGGCACAAGACAAGGATTCTAGCGCGCTCGCTAGCCCCTACGTCATCATTCTCCGCAACCCAGCAACATAACACGACATCTTTTCGTGCCCTTGACACCATCACACAACCATTGCAAACTCAATTCCCACACTCTCAACTCAACTTCAACCCCTCTTCACCCACCACAAACAACCTCAAATCAATCACAATGGGTTGGTTTAGCTCCGACGAGAAGTCCACCCTCGCGACTCACCCCGTCAACGTCGATGTCACCACAAAGCACGGCTCCGCCGCTGAGCAAGATCGCTTTGGCGAGCACTTCGGCGCTTCCACAGACGCCATCCGCCGCGGTGTCGACAAGGGCCTCAACAAGCTGCAACAAGCTGCCCTGGCCAAGGGCGATGGCGCTGAGCAGGACCGCTACGGCGACCACATGAGCATCGGCGACCGTGGCTACAACGCCATGAAGTCAGCGGCCAAGTACAAGGGCGATGGCGCCGAGCAAGACCGATACAACGCACACTTCAGCCCTGCGCTGCACAGCATCGATGCCGCCAAGGCGATACAAGCTGCGGGAAGCGTGGCTGCCAACGGAGAGAAGAACGCCAAGTACTTTGGCCTTGGATACGATGGCCAGCAGAGGGCGAAGCTGATGGCCGGTAGCGGCATGGGCGCTGAGCAGGTAAGCTACTAGCTATATCCGCTGCCTTGGACACAATACTAACACTCTCGCAGGACCGTCTCGGTCAGCATTTCCACCTCACCAGGGACGCCGTCGCCGATGCCGCACAACGGGTCAAGGACGGTGCGAAGGACGTTCTCCCCAGGAGGTAGATGGATAACTTCATGACGCGAGCATGACTATAGCGACGACCTTGGCTAAGACTGCGACGGCCGTATACGTGGACAAACCAGTATCTGCCTACGATGTATCAATACAAACAATAATTTCACATCATGCTACAATCTTTTCGCTTTTGTCAACGCGCATGGAACAATAGGATGAGCTTCAACGGTGTCTGCCGTGAGCAGTATACCAGTGCAAGAATAGACGTTCTTGGCTAACGCTGACAAAGGAAGTGTCCTATTTCGCACCTGTTCCTGACATACAGCCACCAAGCCTGCGACGCGGCCCGATGCTGAAAACACTGTTTGACATCCTTTGTTGGTCACCTTCGTCACACCACGCACAACGGCCGCATATACCCCGCCGCTGCATCGCTATGCAGACCCTGGCAACGTGCCCTTACACAATGGCGCCATACGTCAAGGCTATCCATGTACTACGCGCTCAAGACATCTATCGACTAAGCACCACGATGGGAAGTTGTCGCATTTCGAGGCTCAGCTTCGCGCCTTCCCAACTGTCACATGTCGCATTTCATGTACCCCACATCTGCCACTTGCAGTCTGACATCAGCCTAACGCGTTCCATCCCGGAATAGTGCAGACAATGACTGAATTAATATCCGAGTTCCAAATCCACTTACATTGACATGCTTGTCATCACATCTATTGTCAGCTCTGTAGTACCAAGTTATTAACCAAGTCTCAACAGCAGATGTTTCTTACGAAAACGTAGGGTTGCGCGTTGCGCGAATTGATGCGGGTGATGTCGTTGGTGCTTGGACAGCTTGGAACGATGAGTAAGAATGGTAGCGGAAGTGCTAGCATCCATGAAGGCTGAGCAGAGACAGCCGGATAGTAAGTCTAAGAAAAGAACGGAACGAGAGATCACCGTGTGCTGATGTACGGTAGCGGTATGAGCAGAAGATATAAAGTCGACATGATAACTTGTTGTTCTCTCCTTCCCACCTACAGTATCCTCAACACACTCTTCTACACCCTCTACATCCTCTACACCACACCCACCAACCCCTCCAACCAACCCAACATCCCCCCAAAATGCAGCTCACTCTCCTCCTCGCCCCTCTCCTCGCGGCCTCCGCTCTCGCAGCTCCCACCTCCACCACCCTCTCCCCCCGCCAAACCCGCACCCTGCGCGTCCAACTCTCCAACGACGCCACCGACACCGCCGTCCAGGCCAATATCCCCGCAAACGGCATGCGCATTTCCATCCGCGCCAATTTCGCTAATCTGGGGTCACCCATTCGCGCGAACCGCGCGCTGATTGTGGGGAGTGGGAGTGGGAGCTGTAGCATCTTTAGTGATGCGCAGGGTACGAGGAGGGTTGCTACTATTGTGTAAGTTTTTTTCTCCTGTCCCGGTTTCTAGATCAGGTCTTAGTAATGATGTTGGAATGCTGTCAAGAGCTAATTCGATGATAGGCCCGGTGGCGCTGATGCGGAGTTTGGTAACACGAACCTTGATAACGGAGTCATTATTTGCCAGTAAACTATGATGGTATCTTGCCTTGTTGGATTAGAGATGTTATGGACTCATTGTGGGCGAGGCGTGTTGAGCAGCGATGGAACTGGGTTACGAGCTGCTCTTCACTCACGTGTAATGGCTCTGGTATTGATGTTTCCTTCGCATTCTTTCGTTGATTTTCTATTAGACATTTTATCATAATTGACCCTCGTACTTATACAAATGTATTCCTTCTGATAATGTACCATATGCGCTGCATCTACTACGTGAACACATGGCCGCCGCCTTGGCATAGCTTAGTGATCTCACCAACGATGTGTCGTCGAGCAACCGTGACAGAAGCGGTATCCAATGTGCCAGAAGCGTCGCACCTCCATGCTTCCAAGTCGATCCTTCCACGATGCGCGTTCAAGCGTCTGAGGTTTACTTCGTCCACATCGACGAGAACCTCCTACTAATGCGCCGACCGAGCGACTTCTTTGGCTTCTCTTTCGCCTCTACCGTCGCAAACTCTGGGCCCTTCTTGCCGAAAGCACCAAGCAACTTCCCAAAAGATTTGCGTCGCGCATGTTTCTTCATCTGGGTACCTGCAGCAGAAGGTGGAGGAAAGACGGGCATGCTGACACCGCGCTGCTGCTGCGGACTTCGAGCCGGAAACTGGAAATCGAGGTTCAGTACACCAGTGTTGGTTGGGAGTGGAGGATTGAGAACATGACTGATGGTCGGGAGTGGACGACGGGTGATCGAGCCAAAAGGTGCGGGCTCTTTGATAACATCTACATTTGAGCACGGCTCAATCAACTTGCCGACAGAGTTCGCGGTTTGCTCATGTGTGGTCTTCAAGCCATTGCGTTTATGCCTCTTCTCGATGTGGATTAGCTCAATGTCGGCGTCGCGGTCATTGAAACTATTGCTGTGGTGAAGGTCCGAGGCTTCCGTATTCATCGGAACGCCGCTGCAGGGATTTGTCCAGAGATCCTCCTCGCTATCGTATCCGTCATGCACCACCCAGTTCGAAGAGCTGGGAGACGGTGCAGAAGATCGAAGCGACCCGTCTTTGGCCTTTCGCAGTATGGGCTTTCGCTTAATTGGCGACGCGTTCTCCAGTGCGTTCACAGAATTCGCATCGTACGTCAACGGAAGGAGACGCGTAAGCTCATGACTAGCGGTCGCGTCGTATGTGCGGGGAGTGATAGCCATGGCATCATCCTGGGAATTTGCATTGTACGTTCGCGGAAGAAGGATAGTCATCTCCGATCCAACGTTAGGATAGTAGGAAACTGGTGCAAGTGTCGTAAACCCATCATCCTGTGCCTGAGGGTGAACACTGGGAGCACTCAGCGGACTCTTCCGCGGCTCAGGACCATGCTCGTCCAAATCGAGGAGATTCTGCAGAGAAGGATAGTCATCTGATTCTGACTCATAATGCATGGAGGGTGCAAATTCTGGTCGGGAAGCAAATCGGAGGAGTTTCTTTACCGGCTGCTCCAATGGCCATGGGGATGCCCAGTCATGAACGGCGCAGCCATCTTTAGCGCTTGCTAGAATAAAAGTTTCCAATGGGTAGAGTTCGCGAACATCGTCGGTATCCATATCCGAGAGCGAGAGTGCATACTCATATTGTGAGAAGGGGCTTGTGTGAGTATTGAAGCTCTCGGTGTCCTTGAACTTCTCGACCCTACGAAGCGGCAAATGTGGCTCAGCCGCTGGGGATGTTGCTCTAGCTCCCGGAGAAGATTCGGCGGAGCTAGGGGTGTATGATTGAATGGACGGTGTGCGCTCATTCTCTTTGGTTTCGTCCGCTGTCGTGCTCGGTGATAGAGTGCAACCGTGGAGCTCTTCCAACCTGCCTAACTCCATAGTGGAGGTTGTACTGCTGTAGCCTGACAGCGACTTTCGTTTCGTAGTACGCACCTCAGAAGACGTGTCGCAGCTGAACACGTCCATACCTGAGTAGTCGTCTGGGGAGGAAGTATGGTGTGGATCTGTCGGCCAATGGCTATACTGTCCTGCTGTCGCGCGAAACGATTCCGTACCGTATGTAGCTCCCTTTAGCGGGTCACTGCGTGAGACTACCTGTGATAAGCTTGTCTTGTTTCGTCGATGGCCACGGCGGAATGGTGTACTACCCGCTGTTGAGTCCTCTGATTCTGTGAAGGGTTCATCGGTAGAGGCCTCGCTCTTGACAATGCCTTTGTTACTAGACGGGGCGAGGTTCAATGCAGCTAGTATAGCGTCCTGATCAGCTTCGTTTGCGAACACGGTCGGCGGGGGCGGCGGAAGAGTGAAGTCGTCAATCTTGCATTTGCGCTTCAGCGGGGAGCTATGAGCCGAGCGTGCACCGGGGCGATTTTGAGGCGTTGACGTCGGTGAAGAGGGCTTTGCCTGAGATGGCAGTGTGTCGCGGTCACTGTGTGCGGGAACGACTACATCAGTCAGTGGGCTAACCATGTTGATGGTATTGACCCGTGATGCGACGAGACCACGTGGGGGAAGACCGCTCGATAGTGATCGGGCACGATGTCGCAGAATCGGTGAGTGTGATACGGGGCCAGCTTTCCCACGCATTTGGTTCTTGGTGCTGGCAAACGGTGTGTCGGGCGGAGACATAGTCATAAGCTTAGTGTTGGTGGGATTGCTTGAAGGTGAGCTGGTAGCCGGCTCATCCTTCATTTTCGGCGGTGACGCGGTGTCGTCAGATGGACCGACGATTCCTCAATTGAGATAATGTTAAATAGCAAGACCCGGCCCACGATATGCGAAGTCGAGATCGGTGGAATAGATCTGTTGAGATGCGTAAGGCGTTGTAGTCCTGGTAGACAGGCGCCGCCAGCGAAGGGGTGAGCCGCGCCAAAAGGACGAGTAGCTGCTGTTATATCGTATAAGCGTGGGAGTCACACGTGCTCAGGTGTCTGTGCGCCTTGCGCAGGTGTATAGACAAGTGGGGAGTGAAATCAATCCGCAAGCACACCATCTCGGCGGTCATTCCGCGGCGATGTCGTCTGGTGAATCAACCTTATGCTGAAGGGTTGCGCGGTTAGGCTCTCATTTGGCCCCAATCAAATCTCCTTTGTTGCAAACGATTCTTGCACACCAAACCACCTCGCACCGCAACTGTAGCAATCTTTCCAATGCAACCCTTCAGGAGCCAACGACCACAATTTGCAACCTTACAACCCAAAATGCAAGCCCACGAAGATGCCTTGGCTCTGCTCACGGGTAGTCCAGCAAAGACCACCGAGACGGGAATGGAGCATCTTTTGAGTGTATACGGCGCACAAGAGATCTGCGAGCTAGCAAACGAGACGTGCCAGACAACCCAGCGTAAAACAATACTGGACGAACTCGCGGAGATTCTACATCTGCGTGGTCGGTTACAACACATGGGTGCTACTTTCGCCGACAATGGAGAGCTTCTCACTTACGGCAACCCATACGCGTCCACGGAGTTCCAGACCATGCTACGTCTCGGTCCCATGTACGAAGAGCAATGGAACAGTTTTTTCATCGATAACTATGAGCCTCCCGACCATGGAGGTGCAGACAGGCAACTATGGTGTGACCTACGTACTCTAAAAAGAGTTCTCCGAAATGAGGGCATCGTGTTCGGCCGCGAGCATCAACGCTATTCGTTTGGTAACTCCAGCACGAAGCTTCGAAGACTCTGCTGTACGTATGACGAACTGCGGATTGAATGGTTGACAATGATGCGATCGAGCCTCCCAGCACTCGGTGACAGACAACTGTACACCCTTTTGGGGGATTCGTCCGGTGATGAAGATTCGGAATCTGGCGAAGACGCGGAGCGGAATGAAGATAGAATCGTCGTTATAGACGGCGAACAGCCATGCGATAGAGCTGGCCGGCCTCGAATGCTGCGGCACCGAAGCAGCGGCGTTCCACAAGCCCTTGGCTGGCGTTTCAGTGACGATTCCACGTCACCGCGCCACAAGAAGGACTGGTGGAGGTTCAGCGACAACCTGGAGTCTGTACCAGTATGGGGAAACATCGAACGTGCTGACGCGGAGGAAACCCAGGTCGTACCGCAGGCTGTCTCGATGACAGTAAATCGCGACGCCGAAGAGGCCACCAACGTTCAACTTGTCTCCAAAGCAGCGGCTTCACGACCGCCAACTCCCCAACCTCTGATGCTATACAACCCATCGCCATTGCAAGTGAGTAGCACGACCTCTCAAACTGCTCGAATTCATCTACCAACATCCTCGCAGCACATGAACACCCGGCGCACGATAACTCGAGCGGAGCCCATGCCAAGCCCGAGAGAAGAGAATGTCGTCAACAACACCAACGTAAAGCCGATTTGGGCCCGAGAAGTGAGCAAACATGATGGAAAGACCAAGAAGTGGGGAAAAGTTCGCCGTTGGCTCCGACATGCATTCGGTCGCAAGTAGGCCGAGGTGATCTAGTAGAACATTATCGTGTGCAGTAGAGAGTAGATGCAGGACAGTGCGCTTCCTTCGTAATCTAGGCCCCTGCTGTTCCTTCTTGGAGTGAACCGTGTTGCGGATGATGAAGTGAATGCGAATGCTTGCGTTGCCGGCCCGGATGGTGATGCAGACTTCGTGAACTCAATGATTGTGTGTCTGCTTCCGAGTCGCGAATGGCCCAGTTGCTTCTTCACTGTGAGCTTCCATGTGAGGTATTGAATATAAAAATCTACACCAGCACACCAGTAAGACCGTGATTGTGTACATCAACCAGGAAACCTGCTTCTACTTCAAGTCGCCCGCCACTTCCAGTATAGCGATCGCGTCGACATCCAAGATGAACCAAGAACGTAGACATACGAGCCGTCAGCCCAGGGATCCGTCTCGGCCATCAATGGCAAAGGAAGACATTGGACAAGCCGAGCGTATGGTTGCAGACGCCGTCCAGATGGTTGACGCAGCCATGTCCAGACATGCTACCAAAGCTCTTGCAAAGGAGAAGAAGGCGTCAAGCGACGTTTGCAAATCTGCGGAGTTCAAATCTGGAGTGGCGGCTTTTCGGCGAGACATTGTAGGCTTCACACCAAAGGTGAAGAAGCTTCGTCGCTAACAAATTCTAGCTTGCCAAAGAAGCTTTTCTGCCCCCAGACTCCGAGCTGGCCAGGGAGATCGCGCGCGAACGTATCGATAAACGGGTGCACGACTTCGAGAAAAAGCTGCAACGGGATATGCTTGATGAGCAGGCCCGACGGCCCGCTGAAACTTTGAACAAGCCTCCTCATGGCCACAAGCCGAAAATGCCGAGGTCTCATCGAAAGGCTCCATTATCCGGGAACTTGCAAAGCGAGAAGAGTGAAGGGTTCTATCACAGTATCGATGGGATGGCACCCGTTGAGGTGAGTGCTACCGGCTTCGTCCACTTCCCACGGCATCCTGACGACGAGAATGACTGGGAACGCGTATCTCGCCATTCGACGCCGGAGCCAGAAGAGAAAGAAAAGGTCGGACGCGACGTCAGTGGATCGAAGGGATTATTGCAGGGCTGGTTCGGCAAGTAAGCTCCCGGGGACGATGAGCGCCTTGCCCGAAGTGGGGTGCAATGAGTTGTATCCATGTAACATAGTCGGGCCCTTGACAGAGGGAGGTTTTGAGGAGATCGTATGGGGAGTCTCGTGTAATGAATCATCCAGCAGGAATGCCGTCAGATTTTGTCGTCCTTCGTATGCACATGTGGACTTTGTAGCACACATTAGTAAAGCTGGGTAATGTACTTTTGGAGCGCGGTATTGTCTCAAAATAGAGCATGACGGACTCCGACATGGCGTCGCTCCATTTTCGAGGATGCATGTTCATCAGCACAACGCGACTGAGACAGCAAAATGCGCTATGCTAGATACTGACCGGCGTTTCTAACGCGGTCTGGCCAGGCTCGTGTTGTGTGCCTTGCTTGCCGTCATGACGCGTAAGTAAGTCCTCGATAGCTCTGGACGTGATGCATGGCATGAAAATTTGATAGAGAATCTTAGTAGTGGAGGTAGAGTGAAGGCTCTGGGTCGCGTATCTCAAGCCGGCGAGTTGAGGCACGCGTGACGTAATCATAAGACTTAGCGCGCTGCTAGCGTCGCTCCCTCTTTTCTGCCAGCTGCGACATGACCACCTACCATAGCACGACTTGGGTGCCAGCATCAAAACCGTTGTCACATTGTTGAGTATTGCGTCATTGGGTCTACTACATATGTTTTCAGTGCACAATTCGGATCTCCCTGGCTTTCGCGACGGCATCGTCTCCGCGCCCCAGAGCGCGCTTTCGTACGCGTTCGACCACTTGTACCAGGTCATGCGTCGCGTCATCCATACAAGCATGCAAGACCGTATTCAGTCAAAGTCGACATGACACTCCATCAAAACGCGGCAGCTGTTTCCATCCTCTTTGCTAGGTAATTAGACTTCGCTGCCGCATCTCCTGGTCACGGAGTGCCTTGTGCACGACCATCATCTTTCGGCTGCGCAGAAAGAGCACCGTACGGCTCCCATTTGGAAGCTAGATCCTTTGTCAGACTTTCCATGGCGCTATTCCTGCTGATGTCGATCTTGACGTCTGTGAGTCGCTCGCTCAGATCTCTGACGCTGGAATCGTTGGTCTTCTGCTCTTGCTGCGCTGTTGATGAAGTGGCTGGAGTGGTATTTGGGTGTTTCGATGACATGCTTTCCAGCTGCCGGAGTGACTCGAAGTGGTAGTGATTCGGATCGTGTATGCCGGATGTGAAGACCAGCAGACCAAGTCACTAAGATGTGTCATGCGGAGTTGTTGGTTGCTTCAGTCATGTACGACGAGGTGAAGGGTTGTTTAGGTGGCCTGCACTTGCTCAGGTATACCGTGGGCTGGAAAAAGATTGGAAAGATATTCACTGCGATGTCGCGTGAGTCGGAGTAGAAATACTCTTGTTTCATTGACAAAGATCAGGGCACGGAGGTAGCCTGGGTAATACTCTCAGACCTCGCGATGCAAATTCGCCACGCTTGAACGTATCGTTATCCTTTTCGGCACTCGACAAACAACGGTGCGACAATCAACATCGTTTGCTGCCACGTTTCCAATCCACCTCAAAGCAAACGGAATCGATTCTACGCCAGCCGCAGCTGCGCTGCTCCATCTGCAACTGGCTTGTTGTTCGAGATCGCGATCTCTCGCATCGACAGCGATGAATCCATCTAGGCAGAGCGCGGTCTTTTCCGTCGGCTCAGATTCGTCGTCTGTGTATAGCGACGATGAGCACAAGTCGCACTCCAATCAAGTGGACGTGTGGACTCTCAAGGAGTCGAATTCGAAAACCAACATTCAGTGTACTCGCCGGGAAAGTGCGAAAACCTGCGAAGAATCATCAACTGTGTCACTTCCAAGACACATCACCACTCTGCCCTCAGACAACGAACGGAGCTCTAGCCGAGATGTATCGAGCAGTCGTACCGCTGCGTACCGCTTTGAGACATCGGAAGAAGCTGAAGAGCGCCGTCGGCGAATCGCAGCTCAGGCAAGGCCGGAGCAGCCCAACTGGCGTGACACCACCGTGGACGAGCCTACGACATATATGCAGCAGGTTCTCGCCGAACATGATGCTGCTACTGCAAAAGATCACATTCATGAACGTCGGTCGGAAGACAAGGATGATGAAGAACCTATCGCTCGACATGCGATGCCTTCTCATCGGCACCTCCGTGCGGTCAGTGCTGATGACGTTCCACCGCGACACATGCGCATCGTGCCCATATCGAAGACCCCATTAGCGTCGTCTAATTCAGGATGGACAATAGGAGAATTAGATTGCGACACTGGGCCGGAAGATCGCATTCAACAAGAAAGTATGCGCAGCCCAGAAGCTACCCGTGATCGTTCTACACCCATCACGCCTAGGCCACGAGCGAAGTCACTTCCGAACACCCCACCAGCGCTGCGCTTAGATGAGCATGATTCATTCCCACCGAATCCCGATAAACATCAATCCGTCGCACTCTCGGCTTTAGCTGGAGGTAACGGGGAGCCTGGTGAGGCCTTTTCTCGCGAATCATCTGGTCAGTGGCTCGGAGGACCAGCTCGCCGATCTTTGCTCGCTGCGCGGCGTCGCGGACGGGCGGACTGGCAGAAGAGCGGCTTGTTCTCGTCAACAGGCCAGCAATATGGGCTTGGGAATCGCGACGAAGGGTACTTGGCCGGCAGGTATGTGACATCCATCAGGGATGACACATCGCCGGAGAGAGGAAATCGGAAACGTGACGCATGGAGACGTGTGCCGTGCTTCTCATGATGGTAGGGTCTAATGATCAATGAAATTCTCTCCCGGATATGCATCTCACGTAAGAATACTTGTGAAGTCTAGTAATATGCTGCTGTGAGGTTCTGGAGGACCCATGTTGTAGCCACAGGCGTTCGAAGGGTCATTGTTCGATGTTGGATGCATATCGACTGAATGAGACATTTCTTCGTTGCATTGACGTCATGTTATTCACGGAATGTGAATCGCAGATGCTCCATGGTATGCATGAGCGTTAACTGTGTGTCCATCCGTCTGTCTACCTAGGTAGGTAAGCTCTGGACACCACACGTGATAGTGTCTTGGCGCGGTGTTTCACCTAAGTTCCGGTAAGTGTGGCCGAATCAGGTATAGGCGCGGGCTTGGCGCAAGCGACCTGCAGCATGGACTATCCTTCACCCTTTCACTCCACCTCTCTCCATCAACAACACTGTCTCGCAACAACGCCGTCGCATTGTCAATAATCATTAATAATTCACAGTAGCCCTGTCGCTTCACGCTGCTATGTGTTCTCTCGCTATAGACTACATAGCGGGCGCACAACCCGCCTCTCGCATCCAGCACACTCACAATCAAGACAGTTCGACTGGTTCAGTGGCAAACTCAGTATTTGAATTTGCTTCCAGCCGCAGAAGTTCTTTCGACTCCGTCACCTCTACCCTCTGTTTCGACAGTCAGCCATCACCCACATCGCGAAACGAGAAGGGAGCAGCATCACTCAAAATGACGACGTACTATCATTATGACTCTGACGGTACCGTCACTGCATCGAAGTTGCATCCCAAAGCTGCGATCTTTACGCCTGGTCACCCAGATGCGGAAGCGTATGAGCGGAATGGAGACGTCGTTGGAGCCTATCTTGCACGTCGTGACCAAGGCTACCCCGCACATGGCACCTCAGAAGCACAGCAGAGTTGCAGTCCTACTCTTTACCCGCTAGTAAAACCTTTCAACGGCAGTATAGATGGGCAAATGGCCAACCAAAGCTACCGGCCCAGCGATGGAGATGAATTGTCAGGGTATAATACCTCTCCAGTCGAGGCGTTCAGTACACTTGGGTGGGTAGGTTGGGCGGCGTATTCAGGTATGGAGCGCCCGTATCCGAATCCTGAAGACATACGCCACCTACACACCCTGCAAAGTCTGCTGCCCTATCTCCAGCCTGAGCGGAAGATGAACGCGCTCAACGGACCGGTATTAGACATTGTAGAACAGGATACAGGAGTCACGCTGGCCTATCAGGTGCCAAAGAAGATGCTTGTGCTATTCCTGGGTCGCAAGGTGGTCAACAAGTTCATCCGCACAACACACCGCGAGGACGATGTGAATTGGAAGGGCGCACCAGTATGTCAAGAGATGGATTTACCTCGGGGAGTAGCTAGCAAGGCCGCTATGAAAGCCCTCATAGCTTGGATGCTGCGAGCTTGCAACTACCAGACGATGAGCTCGATGAAGCAGATTCGCGTCCCGAAGAACACGTTTGTCGCATGCTCATTGGCTCGCACGATGGAGCTCTTCGATCTCCACAAAGATGCATTAAGAGTAGATCATTACATCGCCGAGTGCCATCTCGCTCGACCAATCTTTGCTGTAGAGTTGGAGACGCTCTGGAACTGCCTCGGCAAGAATAGCCGGTACACCTACGCTGCGATCAAGACTGTTGGCCAGCGGCTCCGCGAGTTTGAGGCCGATAGCAAAGGTCAGGAGGTACCGGGAATCGATGAAGATATGATGGCTATGCTGAAGGAGTATCCGAATCTTGAAGCGCGCATACGCGATCCGGAGGTGAATGAACAACACCGCCCAGTCTTTAACACCAACTGGATGAAACGAATAGGCGATAAGAACGACCATTGCCGGGAGGGAAGTGGAAAGCAGTCGAAGAAGAAGTCCTTCAAGCCAGCTGCAAGGCGCTTACAGGAATACCAGCCAATAGCAGAACCGGCTGTGGAGCCACAGCTACCGGCCAATTCAGAAAGCACGGTACGCAAGTTTGCAGTCTTGCGAATCGTGGCGGAAGCTACGAAAGCAACGACCAGCGACGCGCAAAGCAGTCACGAGCCAGCTGGAAGGGTTGAGAAGCCCTAACGATAGACAAAAAGGGCTGTCGCAGGACGATAACCATCACATGCACGGCGATGAAGTGTTAGGAACCGCTGAGTTCCTACGATGCCGAAGCTAAGAGTGACGAGGTCATTAACTTATGTATTGAGTACCGGAGCGCGATCGGAGGCGTATTGGTCTGTCCTGGAGTGGGGTTTTCTTTGTACACCTTGCATAGCGTGGCGTTTGAAAGGCAGAGATGACCTGTGGTGTGCGCATTTGATGATGATCGCCAACGAACTGCGCAGAGCTTGGGAGGACACAGCGACGAGAATATACAGCATTTATGGCACTTTGTCAAATTGGAGAATATACGGCGTGTACGCCAAATGAATTGAAATAGAAGTATTTACACAAGAATCGTCTCTTTCAGACCCTGACAGCGTCTCCCATTCGCAGTATTATCGCTTGATCGTCCGCTGCATCTTCGATGCACTCAACGCTTAAAAGTAGCGTCCAAGGGCGCGACGGAACTTGGAAGAGCTATTGATGCACTGAGAGTACCAGTCATTGCTCTTCACACATGTAGCAGGAGCCTCGCACCCAGTAGGGCCAGTGAAACCCTGACCACCGCACTGAGCGTAGAGTTTGGCAGCACCGGCAGATGAGCCAGATCCGGTAGGAGCAGCAGGTGCTGGCGCAGCAGCCGCGGTGGTGGTAGCCGCGGGCTTGGGCTTGGTAGCGCTGCTAGTGGGAACGGTAGGCTCGGCGACCTTGGCTGGGGCATCAGCATCAACGACCTTTTCCGCGGCGGGGGCAGATGAAGACGAAGCACCGAGGTTTGCGGGACCAGCGTTGGCCTTGACGTAGGCGGCGACCTTGCTGGCTTCCATGGGCTCGGGAACGTCAATCTTTCCGAGCTTAGCGATGAAGCCAGAGGATGAGCCTGGGGAGAGCTCGCCGCTGGAAGAGTCGACGCTGTTCTCGAGACACGCGCGGCCGAAGACGGATGAGCAGGCATCGCCACCCTTGCTAACGAAGGTGGTGACACCGGCGGCGTGCTCGGTGTTGGGCTGGTCAACAGCGACAAAAGCGTTACCCTCAACAAGCGCACTGACGCCATCATAAGCATCGAATGCATGGCCCTTCATGTTCTCGAAGTAGTTGTTGACGGCGTGGAAGTAGCTGTTGACACCATCCTGACCAAGCTTGGGAGCGCGACCGGAAACGTCGTGGAAGTAGTTCTTGTCAAGTGTAAACTTCTCAGTCTTTCCAATCATCATCATTGTCCAGTAGTGGTTGTCGTTGCAGGTAGCAGATGTGGTAGTGACACCATCGAATTCGTTGTTGGAAAGGGTAGCCTCGGAGCCGTCGTAGTGACTGACAACGAACATGCGGCCGACGAGGGAGAACTTGCAGTGGTCTACCCAGATCTTGGTGTTTCCTCCCTGCATGTCGAGAGCATCGCCACCCCATACGACGCCAGGGTTGATGGTGGTGAATTCAACGCCCTGGATGATGACATTGCTGGCATCCTTGGCGATGGAGAGACCTCTGCCCTTGATCACACCCTTTCCGCCAACACCAAGAATGGACTTGTTCGATCCGACCTTCAAGGCTGTTTCGGCGCCTGCGTCGTAGGTGATGGAGCTGACGGGCGTCATATCCGAGCCACCGCAGGAGAGGTCGCCCAAGTAGTACTGTCCGCCGCCGCTCTTAGCTGAGCAAGTGGTCTTGTCGCAACCAGGACCAGAAGTGGTCTTGCCAGTGAAGTCAAACTGCTGAGTGAGAAGAATGACGCGCTCGGTGTCGTCAGACAGGTACTTCTCCAGCTCCTCGTTTGACGTTGGGGTGACAGCAGCAGCCTTTCCTCCACCAGTTGCGCCAGCACCGTAGCCATAAGCTGTGCCGACAACCGATTGAGCAGACGAGGTGGCGGCTGCTGCCAGGAGTGCGATAATCTCGAAACGCATGTTGTAGTCTTGTTAAAGGGGTTTGGAAGAGGCAAATGTAGAATGGGCGAGAAGGTAAAGAACGTCACTCAGACCAGCCGAAGATTCCGCTCAAGGTATTCAACGAGAGAAAATGAGAGGATATCCAAAAGGTAATCGAGAGAATGAGTGTAGCGGATGAGAGCAGTTCACATCACGAGCATCCCAAATCCTAATATACCTACCGCTCTGTAACCGCATACACCTGCTTCGTATCCATATTGGTTGCGATCCTTCCCATAACGGCCATGTTGCCAAATGCGTGATGGCATGAACCAGTGTCAAGGGCGTCACGATGCTAGTGCCCGTCTGGCAGCGGCTTTGTTTCAACTGTCTTGACACGCGTGCGCCAAGCCGGACATTGTTTCCATCAGCGCGCTTCTGAGTGCCAGATCAAGCGTTCGCAGGACGTTGTGGTATGGCGCAAGGATGCGTTGGGTCGCGAACGATGAGTCGTTGGTGGAAACAGCGGAGATGTGGAAGGATGAAACATCAGATAGGGCTAGGTGGTCTCGCATAGCTAGCGCACCACGTGATTTTCGCGGGCCAGCTCCAGGGCTGGTCATTACCACGCAACCGGTAAACACGCATGAGCACGATGTGTAAGATAAATTATGCGATCAAGTTCAGATTAGCTTACTGAGGGTCGCGCAGTGTAGCAAACATGTACTACGATGGCGCGGACAAAGTTGACCCGCGCAGTTTGCCCGGGTGTGTGGCGCGCGCCACAACACCCCCTCCTGCAATTTACACGTCTCCACCCCTCCACGCATCTGAGGTGACTGAGGGATGAGCCTTCTTCCTGTATAGTAATCATGTTCGCCCCTTACCTTCGCACAAGAATCACCGAGGTATACTGCGCGGAAATCGGCCGCCATTGCGCAGAGTGGCACACAATTGTCCCCCAGACGCCCTACGTTGGAGGAAACATTCACGAACCGCGACATCTCAGCAGCGCATGGCGATATCATGGCAAAGACTCAACGTCGGTGAGACTTGCATCAATACAGATTCACTAGAAGGGCCACGCTATCGATTGCGATTGTCACGCACGACGGTGTTGATGGAATGGCTACGCAAGCGCATTGTCTGAGTTGGCTGTGTCGTAGCTTTGCCAAAACATCGCTGGAGCAGGACTGCCAGCAACACCGCGCCTCATCTATTTGAGAGCTTACATCTTCAGTCAAAAATCTCGCGCATTCCATTGTACTCAGCAATACGGTAGCTTTACTGACATCTCAACATGTCACAACATCACTCACCTCCCAGTCCGCAAGACTCGCTTTCTGCTACGGCTCGCGCCCGCCACAGGCAGCTCATTCGCCTCTCCATGTTCCCATCCATTTCCGAACTAGAGACGTCCGTACCTCACCCAAGCGCTCTAGCGCCCGATGTAGCGCAAGGACCAATAGATCGGCATAGCCTGCGTTCGAGGATATACTACGGCACACAAGAGTTGCGGCCAAATGTGCCCGTAAATCCTCAGCCCACTGCTGAAGACATAGCACGCCGATCAAGGAGATCTGGAGTTCGGTTTGGTACACACGACACACCCATCCGTGATGCATCAGGAAGACGCCAATCTAAGATCGGGGACATGGAAGACATCACTTTCGGCCTCGATACTGCGCTGACGTCAAGGAGCAACGACGTTGGCCAGGTCCGTAGGCCGCATAAGCCCCTTCAAGGTATCGATAAATTTGGCCAGGTATTTGCTTACTCACAATTTGACGAACAAGCTATGAACGCCAATGAGACGCAGAACGGGACCACAGACGAGTCGAAGTTGGCGTACGCGTCGCGCACAAGGCCGAAGGCTCAGCAAGATGAAGAACGAGGTTTAGGTGAGAGCTTTGAGATGGTACAGTATGAGGACGAATTGACTGAAGACTTTGAAGAGGTCGACAGAGACATCCCGACGGCCTTCAATGGCAAGGTGCCACGTTGACACTAGCAACATGAAGAGAAGCTGTTCTGACTAATTGGGGGTTGATGGAAAGACCTTGTTGTAAATTTGATTGACTGGTATGACAGGATGATTGCTGAAGTGATCACTAGAAGAATAGCTAGGTGCTACAACTGATGGCCTTCTGCAGCACTGACTTCCAATCTTATGACGTGACATCTCTTAGCTTCAAGACCTGCGCACATTCTCGAACACCATCTTTCATCAGTGACCAAATCACCAGAGCAACAGGCGGCCAGCACAGCGCACAACAACCCCATTCATTCACTCACACAATACTCACATACGGCGTGCACATCCGTCTACCTCGCCGCAGAACCTCATTCCTCTTTCGTACTCTACACTCTACGAACCACCTCCTGCAAGCAAGTCAAAACACCAATTAACCCTTACATTGTGAAACCACTGCACTTGACTCCGCTCAACCCGCACACCCTAGCTATCCTTCCAACCTCCAAAAATGACACAGCCAGACCCAAACTGGAACCCGCCTCGCGGACCCAGAAACCGCTACCCACACCGACGAGGCCACGTTCAAGCATCAAGTGATCCGAATCCCGCTCCGCAGATATCGCAACCGCAAAGTCAGCATACTGTGTCGATTCGGAATCCGCAGCAGCGGAACAGCGATCCTTTCCAATATGATACGCAGACAATGCCATACTGGGACGATGCAAGCGGTGCAATCCACGATATCTCCAACGCGACATCCCGGAATCTAGATGCAACATACGCGAAGGGCTTTGATGTTGAGACTGGAGCTACGCAGGGCCAGCAACAGCAACAGCAGGATCAAGTTGCGGGCCTTCAAACTTACGGTCAACATCAGTGGCATAATCCGTATGCCGAGATTGTTGGCGGTGGACCATATGCGCAAGATCAAGCAACCCATCCAACATCTACATCTACGCCACCGAAGAACACATCTAGGACCGCTATCAAAGACAACAAGGGCGACAGGAGGGATTTCACACCCTACTTCGACGCCGCAGACCCACGGAACCACACCGATCTGAAAAGCCCAGATAAATACAACTTCCCCGGAACGAAAGACGTGAATCAAAAGCTGCGCCAGGACACAACCGATGCGATCAAACTAGCAACAGAGAAGCGTGGAAAGATGAAGGCAGACCAGGCATTACCTTCGCTACCTGAACATGAGCCAAAGACAACAATAGTAAAGAGGAAGAGCGCGCCTCTTCCCCCTATTCTACCTAGATTCGCTTTCGAGAACCAACCAATAATATCGCCGAAGCATGCGAAGTCTCGAACTGCTTCGTTTGGGAAGAGTGCGGAAACCCCAACCCAATACACCACCCCTCTTTCCGCGATCAACGAGGCACCGTCTCCGCTGAGCAAATCAAATAAACGACAAAGTGTCGACCGCACACCCACGCTCGACCGCGTCCTCGCTCTCCGCGCAGAAGAACAAGCGAAAGCGCTTGCGCAACTCGAGGGCGATGTTGTAGAAGACAAGGTTGTTGATGATAGCGAACAACATATTTCCCGCGAGTTGGTCAAGAGGATAAGTGACGAGGAAAGTCGGTGTATTCCTAGAGTCACGTCGAGGGAAGAGAAGCGGCATGCGTCTGAGTTCGTTCCGGGTATGAAAGTGCCGGGACTGGATGAGCAGGAGGGCGTTTGTGTGATGGATGATCCGGATGTTGGGAAGAGGGAGGAGGAGGGGGATGGTAAGGGGGGCTGCATGTATAGCAGTGAGAAGAATGCTCAAGAAGACGAGATTGAGAAGTTGACCAAGGCGATTGCAGGTCTGCATCCGTTTCAAAATCTACCGCCTTCGTCGTCGTCGCCGAAGAAGAAAGCGTTCGAGCGGCAGAGCGCTGTGCCAGTTGGATTGGATGTGGGGAAGATTGGGAAGGGGAAAGGGGGAATCAAGGATGGAGCTGGATCTAAGACAAAGCCGGAGGAACTAGGTGGAAGGACGCAAGTTGAGGCAGAAGCGGAGCTTCTGCAGGTACTCAATGCGACGGCTGAAGGCGCTGGTAGGGGGAGTGCGGGTATGGGAACGTCGCAAGAGAACTCATCGGCGGAGTCTTTTGCGACGGTGTCATCGGACGACTACGAACAGATTCGGGCGGAGGATGAGCTGGCGTCGGAGCAGAATGGCGTGAAGAGGCGGTGGTATAAGGGCTTTCGGAAGGTTTGAGTGTTGACGCGCGGGGTAGTAGGGGTATACGAGATCAATGAAGTTGATGTTGTTTGAATTGAGATATGAGCCTGGAGCCATACATTATGTTGTGTCTTGTTATCCTACTGGTGTGACATCCCGTCAGTACATTTAGAGCGAGCTCCTTGTCGCCGAGTTGTAGATAGACTGCATTTGCCGGTATCTCCAGTCAATGTCATTTATCCGCTCTTGGGTATCCGCCGCTGCTATTCCACCTCCCGAATTCTTTGCGCTGGCATCGGATGGCACGATGTTGTTACTATGCAGAGACCTCAGTCTTGAGGTTCTTCCTTATACGTCAGCTCACCATCGTAGTGAAGCAGTTTCTTGAATTCCTGACAATGGTCTCTGTAATCTGCGTATCGAAGTTAGTGGAAACCCTAGAGGAGCATAACGATAGGTACTTACAAACCCTCATACGTTCCACAGCATCTTCAATATCAGCGTTAGTCTTGATAGCCTTATCAAGCGTAATGGCCGCAGCAATATACCAGTTTGGCTTGTGCCACGGGAGGCCTTGTGGTTGCTGCTCATCTTCAACAGGGCGGGGTAGCAATCCAGTATGGAGAGCCTGCCAGGCAGCGATGCACCTAACCTGAGCCGTCGCTGACATGCGCTTCTCGAAGTTGTCTTTATCGAAGTCGAATATGTCCAAGCCTTTGGGCTGAGGAATGTTGGTGGCGTCCAGTAGGTGCATTGCTAGCCTTGCTAAGTTGTTGCGATAGCTGATCATATCGTGAATGGCGTCAAGGTTCTCTTCTGTTGGCTCAACCGTTCCACTGATAAATCCCCTGATAGCCGGATGAAATGTGTGATTGCCAGATATACTGTCTCTACCCGGGAAGCCGTTCATATAGAGCTCGCACTCTCGCACAATGCTGCTTGCCCTGAGCTCGATAGTGCCTTGATGGTCTCGAAGAGAGGTAGATTTTTGCGCAGTGTCAGTGTCTTTGGCGTCATGTTCCAGGCCGGCATTTCCAATAGATGACTCGACTGGTGACTGGGGGGTCACAACTGGATCCAGTGGTTCGGACATAGCGGGAAGGCGAGAATTCATGGCAGGCTAGATCTCAGCGCAGTTGATAAAAGAAGAAGTAAATCTAGTACGAGCCGATTTATATGCGTACGGGTTATTGCCGAAGCCCATACGTTGGTAGCGAAAGCAGGATGAGTGGAAGAAATCCGTGCTGAACCGTGGTTGAAAAGGTAGCAATACTATGTACCACGAAGATATCTGATGCGTTTTTGTTTGTGATACATACAGTACGAATGAAATTATATGCGGGTGGGCGTAGAATGACTACTGGATGCCGTCCAAGATGAACCGATTTATTCGCCGCAGCGACTTAGCTATGGCTGTCAGACCATGCGAGATGTCGACGACCCAACTTCTCAAATTTCCGGTTCTCGGTTTGCTAACAGTGGTGTACATCGCACGAGGACTGTGGCGTATTGTAAAGCTTGCGGTGTCTGATCGGACGCAATCAGCGCCCTTCTCGTCTCAGGGCTCTCATGGCTTGCAAGGTCGCTGCGGATTGGGAGATGGTCTATTGGCAGCCCGTAAGCCGTTAGGGCGGGATAGAAGTCTGCTCTCGGACGCGACCTTGGCGACTAGACATGGTGTTCATGAATGGGGATGTCGCGCGTGCGTTTTTCGCGTTCTGGTTGATGGGTTGAGGCGCGCCCGCGAAGGCCGAGGTCAACTCCGCCTGGCCTGTGCTTCTTTCCCCGCAAAGCAGCTCTCAGGCACAGCAACTCCACGACTGAGAGCAAGCGAGTCATCAAGATGCGCGTCCCGAAGCTTGCCCTTATACCGCGAGCTTCTAGCTTGACGTTCGCAATTGAGAAATATCCAGAACGCTGATAGAGCGTCGATGCCATCAATCCCATCCTCCACGAACCACACCTCTCTGAAGAGCCCCACGATGTCGCTGTCGCACACGATGAACTTCTCGATCCCCGATGATCTGAAGCAATACCTCGCCGATCTCGACAAGTTCATCGACGAGAAGATTACTCCGCTCCAACACAAAGACGACAACAACCGCTTCTTCGACCACCGCCGCGAGCACGCTCGAACGGATTGGGACAACGGCGGCCTGCCGCGCAAGGAATGGGAGGATCTATTGGCAGAGTCAAGGCGACTGGCCGATGAAGCCGGCTTCTACAGACTGTCGCTGCCGAAGCAATACGGCGGTCAGAACAGTGCCGATGGACGAGGGAGCAACCTCTGGATGGCCGTCATCCGAGAGCATCTCGCCGCGAAAGGGCTGGGCCTGTTCAACGACTTGCAGACGGAGCACTCGATGGTCGGCAACTTCCCCGACGTCATCATGCTCATGAACTTTGGCAACGAGCAGCAGAAGAAGGAGTTCATACCGTTGCGGCTGCAGGGCAAGTTCAGGATGACGTTCGGCTTGACAGAGCCCGGTCACGGTTCGGATGCGACACACATGGCGACAAAAGGGCGGCCGGAGACGAGGGATGGTGTGAAGGGGTGGTTGTTGAATGGATACAAGCGGTGGCAGACTGGTATGCATCACGCGACACACTGCTCGGTCTTTGCGAGGACATCAGGGAAGGATGGCGAGATCAAGGGCATCTCGTGCTTCGTCGTACCGGTAGAGACGCCAGGTCTCAAGGCAGAGTCGTATGAGTGGTACGTCGTTTGCCCCACAGCGCTGGAGCTTCCATGCTAACAAAGCCCAGGACACTGAACATGCCCACCGACCACGCCACCGTCTCAATCAAAGACGTCTGGGTCCCCGAGACCGCCTTACTAGGCCCCATCCACAACGGCCTCGGTGTCGCCCAAGCCTTCGTCCACGAGAACCGCATCCGCCAAGCCGCCTCCTCGCTCGGCGCCGCCGTATACTGCGTCCAGCAATCCGTCGAATACGCCAACGAACGCGCGCCCTTTGGAACCCCTCTCTCGCACAACCAAGGCATCCAGTTCCCGCTCGTCGAACTCGCAACCCAATGCGAGATGCTGCGACAGTTGATCCGGAAGACGGCGTTGGAGATGGACTCCATGCCGCACAATGAGATTGAGAAGAAGATTGGCGATAAGGTGTCCATGTGTAATTACTACGCGAATAGGTTGTGTACGCAGGCGGCGGACCGCGCGATCCAGGTCCATGGCGGGAATGGGTATTCGCGACATTATCCGTTTGAGCATATCTGGAGACACCATCGCCGGTATAGGATTACTGAGGGGAGTGAGGAGATTCAGATGCGGAAGGTTGCTGCGTATTTGTTTGGGTTTGGTGGGAGGAAGAGTTTGGTGGATGCTACCAAGGCGGAGTCGAAGTTGTAGGCCTTTCTTGTGGGGGATATAGAGGCAGCTTCAGTCATAGTAACGTACGAAGCCATTTGTTGAAACCGGGCATTGCGTCTTTCTCTGTGATTACAGGTAGCAACAACACGATTAAGAGAAACCATACACAGAAGGCTGCCACCCAGAGCAAGGTCAATCGTAATGTGGAGTCCATTGGCGGTGCTGGCAGCGGTTTTGATTGCTGCTCTTCCGTGACTGAAGCGACTAATGGTAAGGAAGGTACTGATGGGAGTGGTTTCGTGTGCGTATGTAGGTTTAAGGGACTAGGTGCCGCGACGCGTTTGATGGATGTGCTGAGAGTCTTTGGCGGCACGGGCGGGCCTTGGTCCTGGGTACGTGGTTTTCGGTTTCGTATATGTTGATCGCCATATCGGGTTTCAGACATTGTAGACTTAGAAGTGATAAGAAACCCGAGAGTGGAGTACGTGCATCAGGTGCTTGATGCTCACGGTATCCTCCAGTGCAGAGCTGGGGAGACGCGCAAACTATACCCGATAAAGTTAGTGGGTGACGTAGCGGCCCAGCTGGAGAAAGAGCTGCCGACATCATCTCAACTCTCACACTCCGATGATATGCTACGACAGCAGTCGAAGTGGAAAGCGTGTTCATCGATCCCGCTTCATTCACTCGATGTTTTACGAATGTATCTTCTTCAACAGACTGCATAAAGCAGCAATGTCAACGAAAAAAAGGTGGGTGTTGGTTCCGCCGTTCGATCGTCAGTAAAGGCCCCAATAAGCCTCTACCTTAGGTCTCGAGACCTTCGTTGTGGTAACCGGGCTCACGTTCCCGCATCTTCAACTATCCACTCGACGAGCCGGTTTCCCGTAGGTACCTGTCACTCAGAAGCTGGACCGGAGTCCATTGCTGGAGACGAGCTCCGCCTGCTTCCTGCCGTGTGAGATGAGCAATCCCGAAGGATATCGTTGCTCACCACCTCCCGGCGAGACCACAAACGGGCAAAGGGTAGACGCGAAGTCGCGCTTCCCTTTGGCGGAGTGTGGAGAAGGTGCATGGATGTCGCCGTTCCGTCGATCGTAGGTAGCACTGCAAAAACCACAGATCGAATTTGTGCGTTGAGGTGCCGACACATAATGCTCGTCAGCGCAACGACACCTCGTGAGACCAGGGTCGTAAGCGTCCGTCAACGTCTCCACCCCAGTCCTTAACGCTTGTGAGCCGAGGTATCAGGAAGTATTGGACAAGCTGTGTGAAAAGAGTGGAAGAAGACTTGTTAGCGAGGACGGCTGGAGCCCGCCTGCGGCTCCAGATAATGTGAACGAGGGGCTCTCGTGAAGATGACGTTACCTTGTCGGACTCTCCGATATCGTTGAGCTCGGGTTGAGCTCTTCTCGACTTCTCCCAGTCCACAGCCGAAGACGGTGTGAGGTGGAGGGTGGTGAGGAGAGCAGTTGGAAGACGGTGGGCAGACTCTTATAGACAGAGGAGCTACGGCGCGCAAGGCTGCCGCCTCCGGGCTTGGCCTTCTCCTGTCGTTCCATTGGCTGTCGCGTCTGTTTGCATTCACCTGCGCACAGACCATGCGACTGGCTAGATCCCACCAAGGGATATTCGCCAGGCTCAGAGTCCATTCCTCAACGCGAGCAGTTCTATTGTCAAATCTTTGCGACGATGGCGCCGCGAAAGTCCTCCACAGATCCCGGAGATGGCGCGACCAAAGGCGCACTGAGCAAGCGACGATGGCAGTTCATTGAGAGCAAGCCTACCTCTGCGGGCGACACTACATCGACACCTGATTCCAAGAGGCTGAAGCGACCGCCGAAATCTAAGGGAAGGAACAAAACTCAGCTCCTTGACCTCGACACCGCCTTGGTCCTTCAGATCGCCCAAGCAGTAAGTTTAATGATTATAGCATGACCTGGAGGCTGGATCACCCACAGCTTGGCTCATTCAAGCTTGAGATAGCTCCGTAGTCTGCGAGCACCGATGAGAACTGGAGCTAACATTGTTCAGGTTGGTCAACACGATCTGCCCAACTTCATGCGCAGTTGTCAAGCCCTCTGGACGATCGGTCTCGAAGCCCTATACAAGAGCGCCATTCGGTTCCGCCTAGGCCCTAATTTCCCCTCAGCCAGCAGCCTCGTGGGACACGGACCGACGTTCACGTACATCGATCGCTTTACCCGAGATCTGACAATCGACATCACAGCATCTCCTTACGCGCAGGCCTATTTCCAGATACTAGCGCGGTGCCTACAACATCTCCCATTGACTTCGTTGGTATTCACACAGCCAGGGTTATCACATGGACAACAAGACCCGATCATATCCATATTGAACGGGCTATCTTGGCTGATGCTGGAAAGCCTTCTGTGTCACCCAGCCCGTGGGAAGACTCTCCGAGCATCCTTGAGAAAGATTGACCTTCCGGAGATGTGCAGTCCAATCAAGTGCCCCGGTCAATACAACGACGAAACTGTCATGGACAGCCGGCTCGTCTTCAAGTTCGTGTCTACCTTACTGCAGCCTGGGAAGCTCTTTGAATTTGCTTCCGCGGGTAGGAGGGGGTCACTTCATCACAACGTGGCTGGTACTCTTAGGAGAGTCGCTCGCCGTCTACTTGAGTACGTCGGTGTAGGAGATCATATCGATTACTTCTACATGCGAGCTACCTTCGGCTTCCCCGACGGAGTTGCCGGGACATATCGCAATCCCTTCTGGGACTTGGGATTAGAACA